TTTTTTTTTGGGTCCAAACTTATTTCGTCATTTGATAAAAGTATGGTATAAACATGTATTGCGAGCGTTATTATTTATCCTACTTTTGAAATTGTCAGCTGTAATCACTCGTTTAAACTCATGATTACAACTTGGCAATTTCACTTTCGTTTTCTCCCACCCCCCTCTCTCTTTCTAACTCTCTCTCTCTCTCTCTCTCTCTCTCTCTCTCTCTCTCTCTCTCTCTCTCTCTCTCTCTCTCTCTCTCTCTCACACACACACACACACACACACACACACACACACACACACACACACATGCACACACAAACATATCGTCGGCCTGGTGATAAAACCGTCTAACCCACAAAATATCAAAAAACTTTTTATTGGCCCTATCGATAGTAAATTGTCCATTTCATATGCTCACTCAAAGACAGATCTGAATTTTGTCTAGAAATGTCTTTAAAACTTTAGAAATAAAACCGTATAACCCGGCACCCATCGGATTTTAGCCCGATAATTCCGACTATCCAACCTGCGAGGGACGGAATGAGGGTTGGCTGTTTTTATCGCGCTAACAATGAGGGGCCACTTGCTACGTTACCGACTAACCCCGGCTTCGACTCGTCTCCGGACTTAGTTTGACATCAGATTCAGACCTGTAATAGTCCAGAATTTGCTCACATAACCGTGGGAGCTCTCCAAAAAGGAATATTTGTGTAATATTTCTTGTTGATCTCACTGGGGAGTTGTATAGATCTGGTTGTTTCCTCTTTTTTCTTCGCTTTAATGCTGCTGATAACGTTATTAATGACTATAACTCCCCACTATTCCCACAGAACTGTTTATCTCGTGACAATTCCGGTATTTGAAATGCATCTTTATGGATTTTGTTTTGAATGAAACTATGTTTTCTGTCCGCGTGTTTTTCTTTGTCTTTGTACTCGAAATTCACCGATTGTGAAGGCATTTTCCCCTATTCGGACTACTGTCTCTTCTCCTAATCATTTTTCCTTCACAATTGAATGGACGAAGTAGATAGCATTTCCTCCTTTACTAACTCACTCCAAAAAAAAAAATTGTGGGACCTGTCCAGCACACCGTCTGCCCCAAACGATCGTTTTTTTTTAAAGTGCTTTTTTTTTTTTTTTCATTTGCTGTGTTTATTGCAGTCATTGCCTTCTGAAACATTGTTCGACTTTCTATGAAAGTTCATTTCGTTTGTGTTTTGAGTAGATTATTTTCTCAGTGTCATAACCTAATGCTTTATCTTTATATAAAACCTTAGCTTACATAACGCTATAACATTCAATAAGATGATGCCACTCTTGCTGCGTCACCTCTTACCCTCAGCGCTGTGGAAAGTGATCAACGTGACCAGGCTAAGGTCACATCAGCTGATAGTACAACAGTTATGTTACCTTTGATCTCTGCGAAAAGGACACGGCATGAAAACGATTGGAAGGGTAACAAAAGGAAGAGGTTGAAAGAACTGGGGATGCCTCTACCCATGTCAAGGCACGAAGCGAGCAGGATGTGAACTTGACGTCCTTGGCAGTTGTAAACTGGTTGGTACAAAATGCAATGACATCACTGGTCACTCTCTTGGAAAGAAAAGAGAGCTTACGTATATGCCACGATAAACATGATAGACAAAAGAAATCTTACAATAGACAAAAAGAGATCTTACACAGCAAGGGAAAACCCAAGGAGAAATTACGGCCACTTACAAGAGTCAATGGTCAAAGAACACCTGTTTGTAAAACAATCTTCAAGAACACCACAGGCCTGACCCACTGGTTTATTTAAAGTGTCTTCTCCGAAAAAACAACAACCAAGAGGTCCCCTACCTAGAACACATCACGCCCACCATGAGAGAGCCAAGGATGACAAGTTGTTCCATAAAGAGGAATTTTTTGACAAACTTTCGAAGATATCCTCCTGTCTACAGATGACAATCCAGAAAACGTCAGATCTGCATCAAGTATACATGGAGAACTTTGCAGAGAGGGTGAAAGCCACATTGAGCTATCAAGTGTTCTGCCAAATGTTTAAGAAAAACAATTTGGGTTTACTTTCAACCAAGAAAGACCAGTACGACATTTGTACAAAGTTCAAATCTGGAAACCTCACAGAAACAGAACACACAGCTCAAATATGAATATGAGGAAAGCTGCCGCTAGACCAGAGAAGGAGAAGGACAGAGAGGCTGTGTGTGTCCTTTGTATGGAGATCCAGTACGTCCTTCTGGCCTCATCACTAAAGACTTCCACCTTATATAAAACAAAACTGGCTGTACACAATGTTACGACTTAGGATCTTGCCACCAGAGACGCCAGATGATATGTCTGGTATGAAAGTGAAGTTGGTCTGGGCTTCAACAGTTTTCATCACGTCTGACTCCCTAACTGATATTGCAAGTGACTGACTTCAACCACTTCATCATTTGCAGAGATTGGCGCAACTACTAAAACAGAAAGCCACCCTGGTGAGTGCAATGGCCTCGCTGGCCAAAGAGCTTGACATCACAGTTGAACAGAAATTCTCCCCAAGGGCCATACCCAAATGGAAGTGGATTCAGTCCATGGCACTATTGAGCGATCGCTAAAAAACGCACTGATGTACATCCCAATGGACTACGTGAACATAATGCTCCAAAGCCAGACGCATCCCCAGGCCCTATGAAGTTATGTACCTGGACCACAGCTTTTTCAAAGATTTCGCAAAGGTCGGAGAGCACTAAACAATCCGCCCAGGGAGAAAAGCAGGCGATCCTACTGTCACTGACTTGCAGGCATCTAAGTACACTCCAGTCTTTAAAATTCAGTACAAGCTGAACTTTGATGATGGATGGCAGGCGCCGCAAGGACCAAGAAAGCTGAACACCCTGTGTACGACGGTTACTGCTGGACCTCTCTGCAAAGACAGATTGAAGATAACTGCCAACCAGTATAAACATCTACTTGAGTTGAAGGTCGTCGTACCACGATGCTACCACAATTACCATGAAACTTTGCCTCAGTAAGAAGTTTTGAAAGCGATCAAGCCAAATTCGATTATAGTAGAGTCTTTCCAAACAATGGTAACTTTTGTCATATTGCCTTGTTGTAGCCATAGGACACAGAGTGAGACAGACATGCTCTTCTGTCGTCGAGAAAACTCAATAAAGTAGTAGTTATCAAGCCACGCACTTGGAGAAAGCTGGCGCATTCTTTGATGGTACTCACAAAGTCTTTTTGTATAATAATGATATATCATTTTGTAACCAACTTCTCCCAAACCATTGCTGAGGTAGCAGAGCTTTTGTGTGGCTTTCTGCTTTCATTTCTTTCTTAGTATTACTTTTTTCCAGGCCTTTGAATGGCCACCCAGTGCCAATAGTACCGTGTCGGACACGGTCATAAATTCTAAAGGCCTACTGCTGCTGCTGTTACTACTGTTGTTTTTGTTGTTGTTGTAGTTGTTGTTTTTGTAGTTGTTGCTGTAGCTGTTCTCCCTTACCCTTCCAACCTCCTGTTCTTCTACTTTAAATGTAATTAATATACCCATTGCTGTGTTCTGCTTCTTCTACTTCTATTAAAGGTTCAACTTTGTGACTGCTGTTTTTGCCCGAATTGACTCCGTAGCATTGAAATGGCAGCAGCTGATAGTATGTTGGTAGCAATAATATAGTCCTCCTCCTCTTCCTTCTTCTTCTCATTACTCCTCCTCCTCCTTCTTTTTTCTCCTTATCCTCCTCCTTCTCACCCTCTTCCTCCTCCTCCTCCTCCTCCTCCTCTCTTCTTCTCTTCTTCTTCTTCTTCTTCTTCTTCTTCTTCTTCTTCTTCTTCTTCTTCTTCTTCTTCTTCTTCTTCTTCTCTTCTTCTTCTTTTTCTTCTTCTTCTTCTTCTTCTTCTTCTTCTTCTTCTTCTTCTTCTCTTCTTCTTCTTTTTCTTCTTCTTCTTCTTCTTCTTCTTCTTCTTCTTCTTCTTCTTCTTCTTCTTCTTCTTCTTCTTCTTCTTCTTCTTCTTCTTCTTCTTCTTCTTCTTCTTCTTCTTCTTCTTCTTCTTCTTCTACAAAACATCTTGACGATTGAAGCAAGTGATCAAATACGTTACCGTCAAGTGTGGCTTGGCTGCACTCAACCGAACTCAAGGCCAGCAGTGGCTTCCTGATAAAACCGGTCAACCCACAAAATTGAGGGTTGGTCGGTTTTATCCAGGAAAATTTGAGCGTCATAACCGTCTAACCCACACAGTTTCATTAAAAGCAATTTTTAAAGGAAAAAAAGCTCTACAGATTTTCAGTAAAGTGTTTTTTTATAGGTGTTTAAAGCATTGATTTATCCTTAGACGCCTTTGTTTTGAAATAAAACAGTTTTTTCCTTCTCCTGTAAAATTTACCTCGCTGGGGTTAGCCGGTTTTATCACAAGGCCAACGATATGATATGACAGCATCTAACATGAGAATGGAGATAGAGAGGCAATCACTCATGCTCTTAAATGGGTCACAACAACTCAACAAGCACATGTGATCTTTGTCACAGACTCTCAGAGCACTCTAAGGAAGATTGAAAGTGGGAACCTTAGAGCTGAATGGACAGAGCTCCTGAAGAAGACAACACTGAAAAAGATCACGTGGATCTTCACCCCGGGCCAGGCTGGAGTCAAGGGCAATGAGCGGGCTGATGAGCTCGCGGGGAAAGCAAAACCTGAAGGGAAGCTGTGCCCTGACAAACCTGAAATTGTACGTTCAGTCAGGGAAAAACGAGAAAAAGAACAAGAAGAGTCAGAATACCATCATCTTGAGCGACTTCGTGAGCTTGGAATTGGATGGAGTGCCTGCAGGAGTTCTAGACTTAGTGGGAGGAGCAGAAGGCTATGGGGCTATGGAATCAACCTTTGCTTGGAACTGTCAGCATCTACACACTTGGAGATGTGCTTCTTCAGGGGACGGAGCGCTTACGGGGATGCCCCTTGTGCAGTGATGTCGGTCCTTCACACGAGTAAACAAGTAAATCATGCTATTACTGTAACTAGATTTCAGTGATGTACCCAAATTTGAATGGATTTGTGCTTTTGTATTATTTCTGAGTAAAAATGTTAATTTTTCTTCTCTTTTTTTTTTGTATTTTAGATTTGAATTGCCGTACAACATTTGGTGTGGTGGATGTGGAAACCACGTTGGGATGGGAGTTCGCTACAATGCTGAAAAGTCAAAAGTTGGAAACTACTACAGTACACCGATCTACAAATTTCGGATGAAGTGCCATTTGTGTGACAATTACTTTGAGATACAGACAGACCCTCAGGTATGTTGAAGGCCTGCTTTACTTATTTGAGTTGGGCTTTCGTGGTCTGGAGGTACTGTTTAACTTTCATTTAAAAAGTCCCAGGCTTAAAACCTGACCGCGATGAACAAGATTTTTTTCTCTAAAATTTTCTCGTTTCATTTTCATCTCCTGTTCTCTAGTCCTGTTTTATCATCTGCTTTCATCTCCACTTTCTACCCTCATCATCAGCCTTCTCTTGGCTCCTTTCACCTTTGCTGACTCTTCTTACTGCTACTTCTGGCTCTGTTGTACCGCTGTCTTTCTGTGATCTAAGGGTAGGTAAGATCGAACACTTAACTTTATCGGATAAGAACAAAAAATTGCAGAGGTCGTATGTGCAAGTTGCACATGTTAAATTTAAAGATCCATTGGTTGTTCCAAAATGAATAAGAGCAGGCTTTGGCTGCCACCTGGAAAAAATTCATAATTAATTCCTACCAAAATTGAAAATTAGTCAGTATAAAAGCATATGTTGTAGTAACTTCGAATTGAGAATGTGGCTGCCAGAAGACAAGGGGCCTTACAAAGTAGGAAAAACAGTCACATAGGGCCTACTTAAAAGTCAGTCGCACTTCAGGTTGAAGAACGAGCAGTAGACTCGGCCTTTCTCTGAGATCTAGTAGGGGAACGCAAAGAAAACCCCCCAACTTATCTGAGTTCAGCTGCTTTGGATTGCTTGTACATTTTTATGCACACTGAGATAAAGCAGGGCTCTAGCTGAATGACACAAAATGCAAGGTATGGGTTGGCACCCAAGTTATTCAGGTACAGCCGAACTTGTCCAAGGCGACTACCCATTGTTGAGGAGAAAAGTGGTCATCTTCGACAGACGGTCCTCTTCAGCAGTTTTATTATTATATAGAAAAGATGCATGGAGGGAAGTGGGCAGTAGTCTTTTTTTAGGTGATTGTCTCAGCAGTTAAAGCAAGGTGGACTGTGCGGTACTCTGTAAGACGCCTCTTCCTCTTTGCATTGTCCACAATGAATAAAATCAGAATGTGTCAACCATGGAAAGTACATGGAAAATGGAAAGTTTTCTCTCAATAACTCTCTTGACAGCTTTAATTGACCATTCTCCCCAGAATCATGATTATGTCATCCTGTGTGGAGCCAGAAGAAAAGAACAGCGATGGGATCCACATGCCAATGGACAGATTGTTCCAGAAGGTACAAATGGCATTTCAATGTTGTTTTCCTAGCTGATTTTATAATGGTCAAATTACTTATTCATCTGCAGACATTTTTTATTGGTGAAATAAGAACTACTGTTCTCTCAAACTAGTTTAAGCCCAGAGCTGGCACTGGCTTGTGATTGCATGAGACATGTAGAACTGACTTTTTGGGGTGGTATAGTTAGTAGTATAGGGTTTTACGGCGCTCGCCACTGCGTAAGGTTATATGGGGTAAGGAGGTTGTAAGAGAATGTCTATTTTAGTCAATGAATGATCACGATATGCTCTTTTATGAGAAGTTTGATAGAATAAAGATAAAACTGTTTGACAAGACACAATTGCAAGTGGGGAAGCAGAGAGGATCATAAAGATGTGCACCCTTTCAGTGCCCTCTGCCATTCTTCTTCCACTAGTCTCTTCTCCTCAACTAGACGCACATCGGTCGTGATATACTCTGAACGTGGAACTGGAAGAAATAGGTCAACTTTTTTTGTTGTTGTTCTAAAACCATTGTTGAAGTTAATCTGTAGATTGTCTATAAAAAAGCATGAGTCAGCGTTAACTATCAGTAATAGTATTAAAGTACTGTAGACTAACTTTTGTGTCTAGACTAACTTTTGTGTCTAGACTAACTTTTGTGTCTAGACTAACTTTTGTGTCTAGACTAACTTTTGTGTCTAGACTAACTTTTGTGTCTAGACTAACTTTTGTGTCTAGACTAACTTTTGTGTCTAGACTAACTTTTGTGTCTAGTCTCTTCCTTTAAATCAAAAGTTTTTTGTGTTGTTTTGTTTTTTGCCTGTTTGAAAATTTTCAAGTAATGACCTTATATGGTAAAAAAATAACCCCATGAGTATAGTTGTAAAGGAAGTAATGGTAAGTTTGGTGGATATTTTGCAGACAAAGGGATATTTTTCTCTTCTGTTCTGCAGACAAATCTACAAAAATTATGGATATTTTTCCCTTATGTTATTGTTACTCAGACAACACAATGTTTTTCCCTTTCTGTTCTGTAGACAAAGCCACACAGAAGAAGATGGCGACAGACGCCATGTACAAACTGGAACACGGCTCTGATGACAAGCAGAAGGGCTCCGACAAAGTGGCCAGTCTGGCACAGCTAGAGGAGAGCCGCATCTCCATGGTAGATGACTACATCCTGAATCGCATGGCACGCGACAAGTTTAGGGTGAGTAATACACACACCGCTTGAAACTGCACGGACACCTTTGTGAGGTTTGTTTGTAAAAGCTTTGGGATTTTGAGAAACCATTGATGACTTATTCTTTAATTTTGGTCTGTTCTTCAACTTAATAATAATAATAATAAATGACTTTTATATAGCGCTCAACCCCGAATAAAGTACACAGGCTCTGAGCGCTTTACAATACAGTACAACATACAACAGTAACATGAAACGTTGTGTTCTGACTAAAGAAAATTATTACAAATATTCTTCTTATTAATTTAAAAACAGAAACGACTTCAGCTGACATTTGAATGAATCAAAAGTGACATTAGTGTTGTGGTGTTGAGTCTGAGTTGATGGTTACAGTGGTCTCTGCCTTAGAACTCTCAGCGTAAAAACCTAATCTGCCTAAGAACTGCTTTTTACCATGTAACTTTAATGGAACAACATTTTTTTGGTCATAATTTTACATACATAAGAACCCGTCCTGAAAATAATAGTTCCCAACACATTTTAGTGACCTTTGTGGCAAGAGGAGTTGACCCTAGCTCATGGCATTTTTCTGAATGAGTACACATTGTGCATTTTGCTCCATCGTAAAAGAAAAATAATTACCAGGATGAATTACGAGTATTTGAAATGAGTACGTGTATCAGAATATAATGCTTCAATTTCTGATTTGATTTTGGTTACAGGCTGAGAAAAAGGTGCTGAAAGAGGCTGCTGAAGCAGATAAGGCAATCCTTGAGAGAGCTGCCCTTGACATAGAACTGGTGGAGGAGACAGAGGAGGATAGGAAGGTGGCGGGCTTGCTCAAGTACACAGCCACCTCTTGTAAGTTAATAATAATAATAATAATAATTGCATTTATATAGCGCATATCCATGCTCAAGAGCTTGCTCTATGCGCTTTACGACTATTATTACCCCAGCAGACCCTCTGAGAACACTCAGAAACATTCTCAGCTTCCGCGGAAGCATACAGTGCAAGCTGCGGATTTCACGCACTCAAACACTATCAAACTGACAAGATCTTTCACTGTCTATAGCTGGGTACCCATTTCCACCTGGGTGAAGTGAGGAAAATTTGTGCAAAGTGCCTTTCCCATGGACACAACGTCGGGTCCCTGACGGGATTCGAACCCACGACCTTACGGTTGCGAGTCCGAGAGCCTAACCACTAGCCACCGATGCCACAGTTATTGGGCAGTGAGCTACACTGTGTGCTTTGTAATGTTTTTTTTTTCCTTTTTAACAATGCGTCTTCATGTAAAAGAACACATTATTGTAAAAGTTGAATTCCTTGTCTTCATATGGACACTTAAGTGAGAGGAAACTGTCTGTGAAGTACAGCCAAAATTCATTCTCCATGTGTCTGGAACTGTAAACTTGCACGTTTGGGTTAGATTGTAACCTGCTGTACCACAGAGGCTGGCACATTAATTCCTTTTTTCCCCCACGTTCATATTTTTATGTAATGCTGCTACTGAGGTACTGAGATGAGCTGTATGGTAGTGAAAATTTTTTTTTTTTTTTTTTGGAGGTTAGTCATTTACTGTAAATCAAGGCCTTTTGTATTCTGCAATAGCTATGTTATTAATTGTTACTTCTATCGAATCATGTTTATTTCTTTTTCAATGGTGGTAGCTTTTCTGTGGATACAAAAGAAAATAACGGAGAGTCTTCTTTATTTTTCTCTTCTTTTTCACTCTCTCTCTCTGTTACTGTTAGTGTGTTACTTTGTCAGATTATTAGTGATTTAAAATTTTTTTATTGCTACTACCCAAAGATCAGAATTTAGAGCCAGTGATTTCAGTTTTAGTAGTCGCGTAAAGGTTTGGGTGTAGGATCATAACGCTCTCTAGTCAAACACTTGATTAAGACGGGCAGTGTTATCTTTTGGTGTCATAATGATTGAGACAGAGTGGGGCTTCTTTTGAATAGAAATATGAAATAAAAAGACTTACCTGCTGAGGAAAGATTTCAAGACATTATGTTCAAGCCTGGATCCTTCTGAAGAAATACTATAGACTTTGTTGTCATTGCTGTTATCCTGTGCTGGACATTCAAGTATACGGTCAAGCAGATTGGCAGGTTCAATTAGAATAGCACCAGATAAGCATATGAAAAAGACTACTGTATTTATGTTTAAATTTGTCTTTGGTAATGATTTTAAAGATGATTTAGTTAGAAAATTTGTTATGTTGGAAAGAGAACAACAGTAATCAGTTGTTGTGCTGATGTGTTTCCACACATGCTGTCATTTATTTTTTGACTGGATTGACATAAATAAATTGATGACAATTACATATTTCTTTCAGCCTTTGAAGACAAACAGAAGGAGAAGAGGAAAAACATTGAGATGCGACCCCTGTTTGAGCAATCTAAATCTGCCTCTGCCACTGCAAAGTCTTCCTCAACTTCTTTGGATGCTCTGCCCTACCAAAGACACACCGCCCCCAGCTTGAGTCGGAGAGGAGAGCTGAAGCAAAAACTGGGCTGGGCTCTGAAAGCATCCTACAAAGACCCGTTCAAACCATTAAATGTGAAGAGCAAGAACAGTACTGGAGCTCAGAGCTCTTTACAGTCCCCCAGATCCTTACTGGGTATTAGACTGAAATCTTGTGGAAGCACACCCAAAGCCACAGAGTCTGTGAGAAAACTAGGAAGTGGCTGTGAAACTCGTGATGATAGTGTTGATAGTGACACGTGTTCTGAGTCTACGAGTAACAAGGTTGTTGGAGACACTGAAGTGAAGGGAGAGACTGAAAATGATTCCGTACATTCAGAGGATCACAGTGCAAATTTGGACGCCCCCACCCAAAATTCGCATAGTGCAGTTTCTGATCTGTCAAAGGAATCGTCGGTTGAGGATCAGCATGGCAGGTTGCTGCACTCTGAGTCCCAGAGAGAAAGCAGCAGTTCTGACAGCATCATCCAACCTTTGTGCTTTTCTACTGACACTCAGACTGAGCAGGCTAGTTCTCTTGCAGAAAGTTCTATGGACAAAACAGAATTATCTGTGGGACCAGCGGAGACTGATGATGATAAAAGAAGTGTTGAGTTTCTTGCACCAGTGGAGGTGGGGAGTCCTGGTCACAGGAATACCAGCCAGAACAACAGTGGGTTGTTGGCTTTGATGTCTTCTTACACAGAGAGTGACTCGGACACTGATGGTTCTTAGCAGTTTGAAACAGTAACTAGGTGGGTGGTTAAAGTTAAAGGGAAAGACTATTAACTGATTCCGTCCATTCGGCCGCTGACAGCGGCTCTGAGTTTTTCCGCTGCCTCCATTCGACTGCTGTGAGTGGCTCAACGAAATCCGAAACAAAGGTGCACTTTTTAACATAGTTCCTACTTTTTAAGTTGTCGAAAGGAATTAGAACTTGTAAACAAACCTGACCTCAATCTCTGAGGGCCAGTATCGATCGAAACTCCGCGAAATTCTTGCAAAAATCATTGTTTTGTTGTCGCGATGTAGGCTAGATCTAAAGGTAAACAACACGGAGCCTGGTATAATAAAAAGTCTCTTCAAAGAAAGATATTCAACTGAATTTGTGAAATTCTTGCATAAATGTGTGCTAGGGTGATATTGCTACAATGTTGTGTTGATTCTTATGGGTTATAAGGACTTGTAGAGCTGAGAAAATGCGGTAAGTCGAAATTTTCTAAGAGCTGTTGCGCAATTTATTTTTCTCGTTCGTTTTTGTCAGAAGGAAAATGCAGTACAAACAGATTATAGGTCATTGTTATTGATATAAACAGATTCTTCTATTGATTCCCATCACTTTGGTATATGACAATACATATTAGAGTAACTTAGAGCTTCACAGTAATGCATTAAATAAATGCACCCCAGGTCTAAAACTGAACAGGGAAAAATAATTCTGTTCAAAGCCTGAAAAAATCATGGACGGAATCAGTTAACTAGGTGGGTGATAAGAGGACACCGTTGGTATTGGTAGATTTTACTTTTCTTTTCCTCTTTTTTAGATTTCTGTCTGTTTTGTTTTTCCCCCAGCATCAATTGACGTTTATCGTGTCGATGTGCTTCTCCTTATTGAAACAAACATAACCAGTTTGTACATGTGCCAAAACTCTTGCTCTCTATACTTTCATTTTGTTATCGTTACTATGGAACTGTAAATAAACATTTTTCTGATTAATTTTCTGCAGACTCATGCAAACCACTGGCTGTGATATTTTTGTCATTATGAAGTATGTACCTTGTTCTCTGCATTAAAATTGTGTATTATGCCTAATTACATTTGCTGGTTGTTCTTGTTCGAAGACTTTTTCAACTTTGATTTTTTAAACTTTCATTTGCATCTTTATGTGCTTTGTGTTTCAATGATCATATCATGGAAAGGTGGGTGATTGGAAAGTGTCACTGCTGTTGTGTCTGTCTTGCTTTTTCCTAGCACTGCATGATCAATATTGTGTTGCAATGCTTCTCTCTGCTCAAATCAAACCACACTTATCAACTAACAGTGAAAGGTGAAGACAAAATTCTAAATTGTGATCAGATCATCAGAGAATTGAATGATGTGCTGCATCCTGTGGCATATATTGAGTTTGTGATGAAGTCAAAGGCTTTTCTCCTTTTTACCACAATGTAGGATTTACAAGGCCGGAAATCTGTTTGACCCTGTATGTCAGTCACACATGATAAGGTGGAAAAGGGTGAATACTTTGTGAGCAACCCAGGTTCAGAAATGGATTTGAATAGAGGTGGCCAGCTTTAAAGCTCTGTTTTTACCGACTCTCTGATATTTGCATGAATATAACTGACAGGAATTTTCTGTGTCTGTCATATTTTTATACCCTGGGTATCGAGAACTGTACGCCACATGATCCATAGAGAGTATAGAGTAAGTCACCTGTTACTATGCCAGTGTCTGCTCGTGCCCTTCTCCTCTCCACTGCTGGCTGCCATCTGTCCCACTCTCTACTTTGATGAATTTCTTCATAAGTTTGTAGACCACTGTCAGATTTTACATTGTCAATGTACAACTAGGAGGCCTTCCCTCTTACTTATTTTTGCCGCTTCTTTGCCCTGCAGGACAAGTCTGTTTATACATGTATATTTTTACAAATGAGTGACCAAGTTACTTTTGTCTTCTTTTGCCGATCTCAGAAAGCATAACACAGTGCAGATCCAATGTGTGGAACAAGTGAAAAGCTCAATGTCCGCATCTAAAATGCTGAATTCATCTCATGATCATCCTCACTCACTACTAATTGCTGTCTAATTGATGTGGGGACTGATGGCCTCTTAGTGCCTACAATGTGATATTATTGTCCGTTGGTACAACTTTGCTTTCATGCACAAATAGAATGTTCCACATACAAACTTAGAAAGCAAACAGAGAACCACAAAATCTGACTGTTTCTTTAAAAAAAAATAAAAGCTAGAATTGTTTTCCACCTAATGATGAAAGCATTTTAAGACAGACGCATGTATTGCAGTGCACTGTAACAAACACACAAACACATTAATTTGTAAATAAATAACAACAAGCAACAAATTGAAAAGCTTTTATCGGGACGGAAATTTACTGTAAAGATATAATCTAAGGATTAATAAACGTATGTATTACACAGATTGAGTGAAGAAGTCGATGAAAACATTCATCATAACAGTTTGAGCATTAAAAAGAAATTATGTTTAACTTTTAATTTTAAGTTACAATATAAGCATGATATATATATTGCTTTCTTGAATAATGGTTTCAGCATAAAAATACATGGAGAAAAGTAGAAGAAGCTGGAAACAACACAAGGCTGACAGTGACAGACTGGGCACGTAGAAGAAAGAAATGATATTTGCTTCTTTGATTAGTTTGGTTTAAGTTTAGGGGAGAAATACTGTGCAGAAATTTCTCTCTTGATTTCAGTTTCATGACATGAAAGAACATCAAGCTGTTTTTCTCATGGGTTAATAAGCTCACATCAAAAAGAGAACCAAAGATCTAATACATCGGTTGGGTTTGTTTCTATCAAAGAGAAACACAGGTGTTCAGAGAAAGTGATATATATAGTACAGAGTGTCAGAATAAGGCAAGACAACAACAGGTATAGCTTGTTCACTTCAATCTGACAGCGGTTAAAACAAGACAAAACGAAATCGCTCTGTTCAATCTTCTCAAATCTTTGCATATATATGGGTCTTGAATGACCAACGGAATCTAAAAGCTCATTCACAAAGGTCACTGCAAACTAAGGTTCTGACATGTTTTCTTTGACTTTGATGCAAGCCTTAAGCGGGTCCCAAAAATAATCGGGGCACACACCTAAAAACTTAAAAAGTTGACATATTTTCCTCAACACCACACTTGAACGTTCGCTTAAGAAACACCGTTCAAGAGACATGGTAAGTAATTTTCAATACTGATGTGGAGACGTCTAGACCGTTGGGCAACCCCAGCTTTATTATAGCTGGCGTTGCAGCCAAGGGATGAAATCTGAAAGCTTAGACTGAAATGTGGGGGCAGGGTGGTGCAGCTGTCTCAAAATGAGCAATATGTTGGCATGGTTACTTTAAGTAATTTATTTTAGTGATCCTGCTTATGCATCCAAAGAGCGTTTTTTAATACAGTTTAATATAGGGCCCAAAGAGAAAAACTTTTTTATTACTGGATCAAGGTTTAAAAAAAAAATGTTGTTTGCTTGCTAAACTGCAGAAGTGCCATGCAAAGTTTTGTGAGCACAGGTAAATTAATAAATGAGCTAGAATTTTTTTTAAATGCGGACAGCCAGGACAGACGATCGTGAACAAGCTATAGAGACATAAACATGTTCATATTTCAGGACAAATAGTGGACTGGATCGATAACAACAACAAGGACAAATAGTGGAGAAATGAGAAACGAATAGGAGCTGTAAGTGTTTACCATTTCAAATAATTGTTCAAAACCGGAAATGAACTCTTGTCATGTTTGATGAACAAAAAAATTTGATTTGTTAGATTCTTCACACAAGACATGATACTCTGCTCAATAAAATAAACTGTAGAAAAATACAACACTTTGGCCTCTTAAAATGACACAAGACCATTGCAGAAGAGGTGCTTGAAGGAAGGATGTGGGGCAGGAGAGCCAAAGGAAGACAAAGAAACATAAAAACATGGATTGGCCTGGATATAGCAGACTGTGAGTTAGAGATGACACGCACCGTCAAAACAATGAAGTCGAAGAAACAGGAATTTTTCTTCCAGTTTGGTAATTTTTGTTGAATTTTTGTTTTTTTGGCTCAACCCCATTTATGTCCATATAAAAACACATTTCCAAGTAAATTTTAGTGAAAAACTATGATTAATGGCACAAAATATGTAAATTTTCTATATAAGAACTCCCAAGCTATAAAAGTTACCAAACTTTGGCGGCCATTTTCTTACTATTTTACCTCAGAAACCAGGCTACCCTCACCTCGTTCAATTGCAAATATCTCCAGTTCTATTCAAGATAGACGGGTATTTTTTCATAGAAAGCAAGGCAAATGAATCGGCTTTCAGATGACTCCAATTATACTCCATATGCCAAAAAATTGACGAGTGCCTGAATCCACAGCGTGGAGACACATATATTATAGCAGCACAGCCAGGGCTGCCTCAAGCTTCCAGAGGAGAGAAAGGTGGAGGGATGGTGAGAAAGTGGATGACCAATAAGAACAAGAGAACAATACATTCAAGATACATATTGATATATATATTTGTAGGAGTCGGAGAAAATATGGCAGCGAGAAGGTTCATGTTAGACTCTGAGATTATAGAAATTTCTGTTGTGGGACACAGTACTAAAAAAAAAAGTGATGAGGATAAATACAAGTGCTAGGCCTACTACTAATATATCATACTAACAATCATACAATAGTAACTCTTTCCTATCTCCATGCAGTTTGTGACTGCTGTTGACTTTTTCTTTTCCAAAGTGAGAAGAGTTGAGATTCCAAAGCAACAAGAGTTGAGATACTGTCTCTTTCACCTGCATTAGCTAACATCATCCATCTAATGTAATGTATTCAGCTAAACTTTGTCTGGTGTGCCTCTTGTAGAAGCATTTAATTTGCTGAGGGTGGGTTGCTGAAGGCCTGAGACACTAATTGTAACACAAACATCACTTGTCACATACTCTGATATGGAACGTACACATATATCATGTATATAAATCGCATACAGAGTACAGTTGATTCGTCGAGACTGCTTGCTCTGATTTCCAAGTTGCTCCTCAGGATGCTGTATTCTGAGGCGCTTGCAAAATATATTGAAGAGACCTCAAATAAAGATAGAAGTAAACAGGTTTTTTTTTTTCATTTTTATTCCTGGCGGATTCTCTAATTAAATGTAAAATAAATAACCTGTCACCCAAATGCAAACACTAATTTTCTGTGAGTGTTAGGACATAAATTGAAGGCACACTATAAACTTTACATATCCATTTTAGCTCAACAAAAACGCCCTGGTGGAAATCTTCAGATGCATAGACTAATATGATTAAATTCAGAGTTCGTACAGTCAAAGAGATATCGTTTAGGTAGAAACTTGCATGCTTTCATTTCCACATCGCCATCCTGAAAGACAAAAACTGAATCGCTGGTCGCATGTGGTAGGTGCAATGTAGTGAGGACTGTTGTGGAGGCTGCCAGCCATATATGATATGTGTAGTCTCACTGAGCTGAAGGTCAAGATTTTCTGAAAAGGGCAAAGGAAAAGTAGCTCCGATTCTGAGACTAGCTTTAGTTGGTGGCCCACACTGTGCCATGAGGTAAGAAAGGACGGTGATTCTAAGGCTCATTGCGAAAAACAAAACAATGTGATGAAATATTGCGCTGTTATTCATGTCCAAGTTTCTCCTGACTAGGTTTCAAGAGTACGGATTTCTTTTGAGCCATTCAAGTTCAAGTATTTGATTATAGTCTGCCAGCAACCGCACAAATTTCTGACGTTTTGAAAGTGCTGCTTTTCTGTGCCTTTGAGTAAAAAAGTCATCTCATGTAATAAATATCTGCTTGCCATCAATGGAGACGGGTCAGAGTTCAGATGATGTCTCTTCTCTGTGGGCTTTTCTTTGGTATCCATTTTTTATTTCCGTTGCCTCATTCCTTTTCCTAGCAGTAGCATGGCGCTTTTTCGGTATGGTTTTGAGATCATCTAAAAATCTATATTATTGTTTTCAGCTTATTTCAAGTCTGTTAATATTTCCAAATACACAAAATGGGCAGAGTTTCTTTCCTCATTGAGAAAATGATGAGTTAGATAGCACTTTTGATTTTATTGGCCTACAGGTAAATGTACTCTAGAGACTGCGTGAACTGACAAAACAGATGATACTTAATTTGTGCATTGTAAGATGGATGTGTTTGTGAGTCTGTGTATATTCACTGCTATCTGCAATTTATCTTTGTGTATAATATGTGTGTTTTTCTACTTGAATACATTTGTATCTTGATGAAAGTAAGAGTGCATTTTTTACCATGATATACAAATGGAAAATGGCTGGGAACAAAGAAACACAGTCACTGAGAAGAACTAAAGAAGCAAAGTAGACAAACACATTTTAGAAACGCTACATCATTTTCATAAGTAGCTTGGCTTTTTACAAACAACAAGCATGATAGGCACATTTAAAGGGTATAATTAAATTGTAAAAATAGTATATATGAGTGTCACAGTCAAACATCACAATATGTTGGGAAGGTTGCACTAGTCATTAACAACAAAGTCAGCACATAAGTAAATTATACAAAATGTTATTGCTAAAAATACGTGGAGGATACATGTAATTCCACAGTATTGCATAAAAAGAAAATAATTAACAAAAAGGACAGAACTGCAGATGATTACTTTTTAATAAGGAAGCTCATCATAACTGTGTAAAATTGAGAGATATACTGCTGTCAGATTATGTAGACTTTAAAGAGATTGCTAAACGAAGTACAAGTAACAGATAAAATAGAAAATCTCAGAATAAAAGAGTGACAGAGCTATCCGTACGTCGTGTTTTACTATCGTATCCATACCACGTGGGGAACTCTGTGCCGCCACTTTCCAAAGAGGAAATTTATTTGTTAATCCGACCCGTACGCTTGGCATAGCAGTCGGTAAAAATGATTTTTTGAGAAATATTGAAAGTTTCAAAGAGATCTTCGCACTAGAAGTATTCTAAAATGTGAAGAATATAACTGCCGGGGTACACAAAATAACCCTAGGGTGTACGGATAGGGTTAAGTATGTAGACTCAGCTAAAAGAAAATTAAGACAACTCTGACGGAATTAAAAGGGACCAAACGATAGAGTTTGAAAAGCCATGTAACTTCTAAACAGTCAGAGTTTGAGAGTAACAAGAAAGCATGAAACAATATTATTTTAAGAGTGTCACAGAAGGGAAAGGTAACTTGTGAGGCTGGGCAACTGTGGTAGCGACTGCCCACGAAGGCACAGGGCAATCATTCTCCCATTTCTCCCAACTATTAGGATGGGCACACATCCTGCCGGGAATAGCCCTGTCTCTCATGTGATGAGTCACATGCCTAAAAGAGACTGATTGTGTCAGATCAGAGTTTCAAGTTCAACTTTTGTGTCCTTTTAATGGTGTAAGAGAACATGTCAAGGCACAATACTGTTTATGGACTCAAACTGTACCTTAAGCAAAAGAGAGCAGAGCCTTATTTTGAGCCTGGTCAAGAAAAGCTCAGAGACTCAAAACTTTATGAAAGTATACTTCTTGTAAGAAATTGTAATGATGTAAAGAAAAGATATGCAGGCTGAAGCTTCTTCCTTTGTGGAAATTGCCTCCACATGTCATAAGACTAGAGCGTTTACATGCCACTTGTGGTAACAGTCACGCTCAGAGCCCAAAGACATCATCTTGGTGGGGGTCACACCGGTCTCAAAGGTCATCTTTCTCATGACCTTTGTGCTCCTCGCTTGGAGTATGCTCTGTTGATAGCCTCCAGCAAACCTGAGACGGGTCTTTTGTGATTTCCATTTGGTTAATTGGCCAGTACAACTGACATGCTCCAGTGGGTTTCTTGTTGAAGTCTTTAGAATGAGGTTTGGCTTTGTCAATTCACATTGTTCAGTGGCAGATAAACTTCCGTGAAGGGTCATTATATTCCTCAGATGAAGAGAAAATCTGAGCCATTTCCCGATTTTCACAAAATTGCAGTCTGATCATTGCACAGAAAAGTTGGAATCAACTTGCTCAAAGGCACACAAGTCTTTATCAAGCAGTCTATTTCTGTCTTTGAAATTTATAGCAAATAGATACTCGTATTTTCTCCAAATGCACAAGTAACTGGAACACACTTTCCATAACAACGTTCGAACTTCCCTTCGAATTAAAGCACAAAGGAATAAGTCCGAAGTTTTTGATTGTCTTTTCACAGGAAATAATACCAGTCTATGAACACAACAACTGAATTCATTGTCAACAAGTTGATCACAGTTTCACACTAGTCATTGCTTTTCAACATACACACAAGTGTCAATATAATAAATTAATATCGTCTTTGGTTTGATTGTCACTAGTAAGATCAGCAGTATTGCCAACCTTGCTGTTTGTTGTTGGTTTACATCACAAGGTTTTTCACTCACATTGGAACGCACAATAATTAGCCGTGGGTTATGTTATCTGCAACTTTGAGCTAAAGTTTTGTCAACTTTTATCGACTGGTCTCAGGACCACCATTGTTTCTTCACACAATGAGATCAGGAGAAGTCACCATTGGTCAGAACAGACTTTGTCTAGTATCCACCGAAAAACTGAAATGATTTGATAGGCCTATTTCCATAATGATGTTATTTTTTGGAGTGTCCATTCTTGGCTAAAAAAGAGTAACTTTCTTCCAAGTTTGAAAATAATTCTGTCCTGTCTGTAACTAATAAATTATCAAGTAGATAGATTCCTCTCATGATGATGTTTCTGCACTTTGGTTACAATAACATGATCTTTATATCTCTGACTTTGCATCTTCAATTTTCACATCAAACTTTTTGAAATGATTCTATGATCTCCTTTGAGTTCTCAGTAAATTACTTTCCCTCGTCTGCTCAGTTTAAATTACTGAACTATTCATTTCTTGTACTAAAACAGTTTTGTTTCTTTCTCACTATGACTTCGCTGGGTAAATCCAAAAGCTATCATTTTCTTTTTGTAATTTGTATTGACACACTTGACAAAAAATCAAAACACAAAATTCCTTGAAACTGCAGACAGAGGGATGTCTTGTTCCATCACACAACAAATCCCTGACGAAATGAAGACGAAACAAGATGAAATCTTGGCGTCAGGGAACTGTGTGGTCTTCGGTCTTTAGTTTGCTGCCATGTTTCCTTCTTCATAGAGTTTGTAGACAAGCTGTGGAGAAAAATTGACAGTTACTGAAAACTTTCTGTTTGTCATGATGATGAAGTAAAAAATAACGAGCAGTTGATAATGACAACAAAGTTACTGCTTGAAAAGGACAAGAATTTGCTCTACTGTGTACAGGCCTCGAGCATTTGAGTGACGTCTTTCTGAAACAAATTTTCAGGCACATATTGGCAGAGTTTGGTGCAAAATTAGTTCATTACTTCTCACATCTCGAGTACTTTGAGAGCAAAATAAAGAACTCAATGTGGGTGGTCCGTGGGTGCTCTGGCGTGGTATGCTCCTTCTTTCCTATACTTTACTTTACTTTTCCGATCCAGCGGCCATTTGGGTTCTAGCCCTTCGGTCTGTCGATATGGCAAAGAATTGACAGGTTTTAATCAGCTGTGCTTCTTTCCTATCAAACATCTATCCTCCTTATCTTCTTTCTTTCTTTTGTGTTTGTTACTCTCTTGGAACATCCCTAATCTTTAAAGGAAAGACGTCGCCATAATCAGACAGCCACCGGAACAATCAGTATGGATACCTTGTGGGCTTTGGTGCTGGGGGGAACTGAGCACTTATGGACCTGTCCGGTGTGCAATGACCTTGCCCAGGACAGGTAATACAGGTAATCCCTAATCTTTGGCACTTATAATATGACCTTATTCTTATTATGTTGCAAGTGCTGTGAAACTTTTACTAAAACTAACTAAAAGAACTCAACTGTTAGTTCTGTTCAATGTGGGGGGGGGGGGGGGGGGTGAAGGAGGCAGTCAAAATGAAACGGTGCCAAAGAAATGTTCTTTGTTCAAACTGCACTTAACCCTTAAGATTCTGGTCCCTGATAAATGTTTGCCCGATAAGCGCAATCCCGCGTGGCGCTCCACAGCTGGTCCCTGATCAGTCGTCGTCCCGCGCGGGCAACGCATTTCGTTTACGGCGGGGTCTGCATCTGTGTGCTAAAATGTGTGTGCGTCAATCTGCTTGTGCCTGAGTGTCCATCTCAAACTTACTGCATTGTTTTGCAACGCGTGGCGTTGGTAGAGATAACAGAGCGTCGGTTGAGACGTTCATCCAATGAAATATGAGCATTTTGACCCAGTTAGACACTTGAGGGACTCAAAGGATATTCAGGAAATAGGACTTTCATCTTTCAATGCAAACACCTTTCCTCACTTTTCAAACGATCTAATTCTTACACCAAACGTTGTTTCCTGATGTAAATAATCATATTTGGTGGTTTTTGAACCATTGTCCTACCAGAGGGAGACATTTGAGAGCAACTGAATAAAATAAATATTAGGAAATTATCCCATTTTTTCCCCCTTTCGAACGATAGCTGATAAGCAGCTGTTCGCAAGTTCATTCATAATAGGTGTGAAATCTGGAAAACTCTGGAAAAGTTATTCGATTTGGTGTAACTTCCAATCTCAGCGTCTCTGATCTACCGACGAGGGGATAATGGGATTATTCGTGTGATCGCAACACTTATTCATTGATCATATCAGTTTGCTATAAAAGATGAGGTGTTTCCCTGACCTGCCGCGGTACGCTCGCGTGACCAGTGCCTGACCCCGGCGCCCCGCGGCACAAGCCCGCAGGCGACGTAAGTGGGTCATCGATCGATAAGAGCCCTCTTCCAGTTAACCCCGCAGGACTAGAATTAAAATAAGCCTTACACTCTTAAAGTGGGTGGTTGGCGGGTGCTCTGGTGTGGTTTGCTCCTTCTTTCCTATCAAACATCAATCGTCCTTATCCCCCCTTCTTCTTTTTTATGTTTGTTACTCTCTTGTAACACCTCTAATCTTCTCGCGCTCATATGACCTTATGCAGTTGCGAGCGTCGTAAAAACCTCTACTAAAACTAAAAAAACTAACACTCTTAAACTTGGTCTTGAGTCCCTCCATGAAGTAGTCGGTGGCCTTGCCGTGTGGGATGAGACTCTCCAGTGGCCGGCCGGCCCGCTCTCGGCTGTATTGCTCTTCCAGGCCACGAGGGATGTAGTCCACGTTCACCTGGACCTGCAAGAGTGGAACCCATACCGAAAGTCAATAAAAGATGTGGTATGCATTATAAAACCCACTTCAGCTCAAATCGCTCTCTACTACTACCCTTCTACTTCTAGATATTGCCAACCACACAATCCTCAGCTTATGGATCTCTATTAATAAAGTTTCGGGCTGGGTCCATACAGAGATACAATAGACCTTACGTTGAACAGACAATCATATATCAGTTGTCGTTTTTTTTTGTTTGTCACATATTGGAAGTGTTAGTCTGTGGAGATGATCAAGTATCGCTTGTGTCACTCACTGTGAAGGAAACTGTGACAAGCACTGACTATGGGCGCTTAAATGACCAAAATTGTGTCGATAGTGCCGTAAAACATCTATCCAATCAATCAATCAAGCACCGACTCTAGGGGGCCTGCTACTCACTGAAACAAACATAAGTTTCTGCAGTATCTAGTACTATGGTCTCAAGCACATAATGTTGATGATAAGCTTACGTATGAGCAGGCATACATCCAAGACCAAGCAGAAAAATACACACAAACACCGATGAGCTATCCACTATTCCCCAAATCATATGCCCCCCCCCCCCCTATATATATATATATATATATATATATATATATATATATATATATATATATATATATATATATATATAAATAAAACAAGGATACCTTGACTAATACTTTTTCATATGATTTAAATGTTTAAAAATAAAGCATTAAGGGAACACAAGGATAAGAAACAAAATGAACAGAGTTTCCTTGGAGTCTCCTTAAAGAGAGCATTTTCACTTCGACAGCCATAAAAAGTTTGCAGCCTAAACACTTTGTAAGGATTGGAGGAAACTAAAACAAGTTGAGATAGGAGAAACTCACTAGTTTCGAGGATGGAACATCATACATGAGCTCATCATCTCGGCGGGCGTCACACAAGCGCACAAACACAGATGCTCCCTCCAGCAGTTTGATCTGGAAAAAACAATGAAAAAACTAGGCCAACATGTCCCGCTTAAACAATGCAATACAGTTTGACTGCTCAGTGTCAGACTACATTATAAGTAGTCGGTGGCCTAGTGGTTAGGCTCTCGGACTCGCAACCGTAAGGTCGTGGGTTTGAATCCCGTCAAGGACCCGACGTTGTGTCCTTGGGAAAGGCACTTTACACAAATTTTTCTCACTTCACCCAGGTGGGAATGGGTACCCGGCTATAAACAGCGAAAGATCTTGTCAGTTTGTTAGTGTTTGAGCGCTTAATCAGCTGCTTGCACTGTATGCTTCACGGGAAGCTGAGAATATTTCGGAGTGTTCTATGGTCTGCTGGGATAATAATATAGTGTAAAGCGCATAGAGCCTGCTGTTGAGCGGGGATATGCGTTATACAAATGCTATCTATTATTATCTATTATTAGTCACTTTTCAAAATGGTATATGGCGGAGTCTGACATTAAGAAGGTGATTTGTTCCTAAAACAAAAGAAAGATTGACACAATAATATTACAGTCGGACTTGTCCTAGATGATCATCCATTGTTCAGGACAAGAGTGGTAATCTTAGATGAGTGGTCATCTTGGATAGTGTTATTATAATATTCTTGAAAATGCAAGAGGGGAAATAGGAAGGGGTCGCTTGTACAGGTGATTGTCTTGGGCAGGTGGTCATTCGAGCAAGTTCGATCGTATTTACAAAACCAATGAAGGTTTGATTAGCTATTCATGATTCCTGTACATTATGGTATTCCAGCAGGCTTTGTCTCATGCAATTCAGCCCAGAACCATATTGTAGAGGCTGGACATCTCCAAAAGTTGTTCTTTCTCATAGTTTCGGAAAACTGTTTATGTCAGCAGCAAAAGGAAGAAATTGTGATTGTAATGTATTGCAGGATAGCATATTGAAAGCTTTTTTAATTATTCAGTAAACCTCACACTATTCAAAGTGATGTCCTTTCAAATGGACTTAGAAAATGGGCAGTGTAAATCAGTCTATGACAAAGAGTGTAAATTGGCAAAACTTTGTTTGAACGTACAGATTTTCCACGGATGTTCCTCTCCATCCATTCCTTGCATGGTTCCCGTGCCAACTGCTTCAGCATCTGCTGGTTGGGCGCACCTTGGAAAAGAGGCAACTGGAAAGTTTCTGTGTAGCAATACTTGTCCTTGAAGATCTGAACAGCTGTCCATGCCTGTTTATGTGAAAAGAAATAATGCATACGTTATTTTGCAATAATAGAAAATGTCTTATATGCATGCACGCATGCACACACTCACTCGAGTACATGCATTCATGTAAACATGAGAATATACACTTTTCGTTTTAGTTAGTGTTTTACGGCACTTGCAACACAGTTAGGTCAAACAAGTGCCAAAAATAAGAGGTGTTACAAGATAGTAACAAACACAAAAAAGAAAGATACATAACAATGACAATTTAAAAAAGTAAAACACACACTTACTCACAAACTCACAGACACACCCACAAGTACAGTGAACAGATACATGATGTATACAGTATAACACAGACAGGTCGAACACAGAGGACTCGAAATCACGCATCCTCCGTCGAACTATGCCTGCGGTTCCATTTTATTCTTCTTCTCTATCTTTGTAAGACATCCCTCAAACTATGGATCCCTCAAACTACTGAGGCCGGTCCTGACGAAACTGAGCTGTGTGTGTTATACTGTATATAGCTCCAGTGACCTCACCTGTCGCCCCTGCAGGTGGGGGCCCCCGTAGTTTTACTATGGGGGAGTAAAGAATACACCTGCCGTGATACTGCGTGTCGTAAGAGGCGACTAAAGGTGCCTAGGTCTGGCCACCTGAAAAGTGACAGTTTGCGGAGGGCCAACTACCCGACCCAGTAAAAAAGGAAAGTTATAGAAACACGAACAAAACATGCCTTATAATTTTTCCATCTTGGGAGACGGAGGAGCTTCTGCATCAGCAGGAACAATGAAGGATAGCGGATAAAGTCGAAAGGACTCTTCTGACCTGAAACCTTCTCTGTCGAACAAGTCTCTCCGGATTGCGTCGTGGAATGTTCGCACCATGTATGAAGCAGGAAGAAAAGATATAGGCTGCACATACTAGGAGTCAGCGAAACCCACTGGATACAGTCTGGACAGAAGCAGCTCAGCTGTTCGGGGGAACAAATATTAGAAAAGTGGGAAGACGTGGAGTGACATCAAGCGACTAGCCCAGGATAGGGAAAGGTGGAGAGTGTATGTTCATGGCCTATATCCTGCCCCAGGGTGAGAAAGGCAATGATGATGATGATGATGATGATGATGATGAAGATGACGACCTCACCTGTTCCAGCAGACCGTACTTATAGTTGTCCCTGGAGACGTTGACAAACACTTCCTGTAGGTGAATGATGGCCACAAGGAACCTGTGATAGGACCTCCGAGGAAAATGCTGGGGACAAATAACAATAATAGTGTTGATAGGGGCGTTAAACTCATACCATTTCACCATTTCACAAATAACAAAAAAAGTTACCATTTAGAACTCAGGGTTTTACTACAGCCTACCAGTGTCTGTGGTGTTGTGTTTAGATGTCTGTGGTGTTGTGTTTAGATGTCTGTGGTGCTGTGTTTAGATGTCTGTGGTGTTGTGTTTAGATGTCTGTGGTGTTGTGTTTAGATGTCTGTGGTGTTGTGGTTAGATGTCTGTGGTGTTGTGTTTAGATGTCTGTGGTTATGTGGTTAGATGTCTGTGGTGTTGTGGTTATGTGTTAAGATGTCTGTGGTGTTGTGTTTAGATGTCTGTGGGGTTGTGGTTAGATGTCTGTGGTGTTGTGTTTAGATGTCTGTGGTGTTGTGTTTAGATGTCTGTGGGGTTGTGTTTAGATGTCTGTGGTGTTGTGGTTAGATGTCTGTGGTGTTGTGTTTAGATGTCTGTGGTTATGTGGTTAGATGTCTGTGGTGTTGTGGTTATGTGTTTAGATGTCTGTGGTGTTGTGTTTAGATGTCTGTGGGGTTGTGTTTAGATGTCTGTGGTGTTGTGTTTAGATGTCTGTGGTGCTGTGTTTAGATGTCTGTGGTGTTGTGTTTAGATGTCTGTGGTGTGATGTTTAGATGTCTGTGGTGTTGTGTTTAGAAGCTTCGCTGTTGCAATTTCCATTTCCGAGTGTGGAGAGAATTTTTATTGAGTATCTCCGACTCTCTGCTAGGATGTTGTATCCTTCTCAGTCCTGGTTAGCCCTGTCAGGCGGGGTCGAAGCAAAGCAGCCCCCTTCCTAAATGGTTTACATAGTGTTGATGGAGGCGTAAAACTTCTACAATTAAATAATGTTCAGGGTTATATGAATGGATTATATTGAGATAGTAAGACAGTTTGAAAAGCTGAGAACTGAATTTTGCTTTCTTTCATAATAATAGATGGCCCGTTGAATTTTTAGATAAAGCAGTCCGCAGGCAAAGAAAACTTAGATGTCATACAAAGATAGACGAAATAAAACAACATCTGAATCTTTCAATGATATTTATAAAAATATAATAATAATAATTGCATTTATATAGCGCATATCCATGCTCAAGAGCTTGCTCTATGCCCTTTACAACTATTATTACCCCAGCAGACCCTCTGAGAACACTTAGAAACATTCTCAGCTTCCGCGGAAGCATACAGTGCAAGCTGCGGATTTCACGCGCTCAAACACTATCAAACTGACAAAATCTTTCACTGTCTATAGCTGGGTACCCATTTCCACCTGGGTGAAGTGAGGAAAATTTGTGCAAAGTGCCTTTCCCAAGGACACAACGTCGGGCCCCTGACGGGATTCGAACCCACGACCTTACGGTTGCGAGTTCGAGAGCCTAACCACTAGGCCACCGACGCCACATATAAGACACTTTCTAAACCACTTTTTCTATGAATTGCGTAGAGTACAGAGTCTAGGGTGGCCCTGATGAGCAGCGCACTTTCTAAATATGTAACTCGTGTAAGTGAGGCCATAGACATAAATTTCATGTCCGTATCAGACAACGACACAATTAAAAGGATGATTTGTGCATTCAGGGTGTGGTTTTTTAGAGTTCAGATGTTTCAAAATAAGTTTTACTGGTCAAACCTTAAAGCCGTCTTTCCAGGCTGGTGAACTGTGAGTGCTGCGAGGGTCAAGGTTTTCTGTGAAGGTCAGTTTGTCGTAGGTTGCATGTGGCGTACCCTGAAATATAAACAGGCAAAACAATTAGCATTTCCGTTCAAGAAGTCTAGTTCTATAAATACCCCAGCACGCTGCGATACAGAAAAGAGAAAGAGCAACAGGGTTCCAAAATGAAAAAAAAAAAAAATCCAAACATGTGAAACTTTACGCACAGGGTCAGTCCTGCAGGCTCATTGCACTAGATCATTACCCTTTTGAAACAAAACACATACCTCTTTGCACTCTACCATTATTTTTCTTAAAACCAAACACATGTCTCAGCGAGAAAGTGTCTGAATTGAGAGGTTTGCTGTCAGGAACTCTGTAGTGGTGGGTGGTTGGCGGGCACCTGCTGTGGTTTGCTCCTTCTTTCCTATCAAACATCTTATCTATCGTCCTTGCTGTACCTTTCTTCCTTCTTTTCTTTGTATCTCACTCCTTAGTAACACCTCTAATTCTTGGCACATATAAGACCTATTTGTGTTGCAAGTGCCGTAAAACTCGAATCAAAATTAAGCTTTGGTGTAAGGGTCTGCCAGTAGACCCTGGAGGCTAGGGCTAAATGGATTATAAACAACTTACCATGTAAAATGCCCCTGGAGGATTGAGGCAGATGTGTGCGTAGGTGAAGTTTGCCCATGGAAGGTTCACCGCACTGTCAAGAGCCAGCTGGGTAGATGGACAAAAAAGGCAATTTTTCACCCCTGATAGAAAAGGCAATCTTTCACCACTGATAGAAAAGGTGCTTGTTAAGAAAATAAACACTTTTGTTCAACCTAGGACTTTGTGACCAGGCATTTATTCATCTTGTAGTAACAAAAAGATTAGGTGTTGAAGGACAAGTTAAATTTTTCTGACTCTGGTTAAAAACATCTTTAGTTTTACACAAAACAGACCTGGTCAAATTATTGACTTGAAAGTGGAATATGAATACATACAGACATCTCTTTACTTGGCTGAGTCTGTGTAAAGTTATTTCAGTGCATGGAAGGATACAAAACAGAACAGCTTCATAGTTAAGGAGCAAACGTTCTAATTATATGGAGGGTTGGTATTAAAAACAGTTTGTTTCAAGTTGATGTACAAGAAAATAAATATTACACAATTATAACAAAATACTACATAAACAACAACATTAAAAACTATGATAAAGTAATTATTTAATGAATTCCATTTTGACACACTTTACCTTGAGTCCCTGCCTGGGGCTATACTGACTGATGAAGTTCAAGTCTTGATCCAAAGGCTTTGACTCCATGGACTTTGTGAGCTGATTCTGTTAGGAGAAAATAGAATGAACAGGTTACAGGATGTGAGGAATATGATTTACAGAAGTCAGAGTTTCCATAAAATTAAAGACAAATTCCCTTTTTTGTATCCTTCATAAAATTTGTTTTTTCCTATTAGATGCACAACTAAAAAAGGTATTCTAAAATTATACTATAAAAAGATGATGCATTGGTTGGCACATTCCGCATTTCCTTTAACATTTCATATAACATTTTAAACGATGGTTGGATGGCATTTCCTGAAAATGATACACAGAAAAATCACACATATATGCCATGTTCTATAAATTATTATCAATCTTCTTCTCAATTGCATCACATGTGAAGACCAGTATTTCTCTCACATACTGGGCTATTCTGCTTAGTTGAAAATTAAATATGTACATGTTTTTTTCTTAGATGAAACAAAATGGCAAACAATAGAAATTCCAACCATACCCTTATGTACTGCTCCATATTTTTGTCGGAGTTGAGGAAACTCTCTTTGGCCTTGGTGGTAGCAGCAACAGCATCACGTATGGAAGTGCGGGGTCGCTTCAGCATGGCGTGGAACAGCATGCTCTCCCCTCGCGTGGGCACGCACTGACTGGACAGGTACACGCGGTCTGAGTATTTGGGTAGTGGATACCACAGACCCAGACGTGCCCAGTCTGTTTTGGGAACCCTGGCGGCCTGCATACCACAAAGACAAAAACTTATGGTAAGTTCAAGGAAGAAATAAGACGGCTGAAATTCTTGAGACAAGCAGTCTGTGAACACAAGACAAAAATAAATTTAATCATAAGTTTTATGGTTGGCATCAGAATATTACCAAAGTACTCACAGGCTGACATGAAACTACAAGATTAGAAACCAAAATCAATGTATATATCCTTAAAGAGGACAAGTGATCTGCATGATATTCTACTAGCAAGTAAGGATATGAATAGAGCAATAAACGAAAGAAATATTTCCAGACACAAGAAAAATCTTTACTGTCTGTTGAAGATACACAGTTTTGAAAAGGTCTATTTTTCCTCCGTTTCCCTTGAGATAGAGGCCCAGAACCTGTTAGAGCCATACAGCTACCTCTTGAATTTCTTTTGAAGTAAAACTCTCTCTTAACGCACAAAAGCTGTATATATTTCCCAGAAAATTTCTTCCAACAAAAAAGTTCTTTGAGTCCCACAACATTTCTGAACACTGGTTGAAGTAATTTATGCGGAAATTTTTCTTGATTTGCTCAAAACCCCTAGAACAAGAAGTTCTTTTCTGACGAAGATCTTTTATGTCCAATTAGCAATCTAATGCATAAAAGGCAGTGTATGTTGTTGTTCTAATTTACTTTTATCTCTGATAGGACCAGGAGGAAAGCTTCAAAAACTCCCTCAAAACAACCTTGTTTTAAAAATGCCCTTGTGGGATATAATCTGTGTACCCTGCATCAGAGTGAAATGTCTTATCGAGCGAAATCTGCTCATTAATGGGCGCACAATCATCTAAGAATTGGAGATAAATCAATATATAGAAAAATAAGTTTTCATGAAAGGAAACCTAGCGTGCATATGTATTTTAAAAAACACAGGACCTATGTGTAATAGCCAGGCTTTTCACTTTTTGATGGAAAAGACGAGAGAATGAGTCCCTTGTCCCGAAATATTTCAGTAAATATAATGGCTGTCTTTCTGTGACATACAATATCCTTCATGGCCCAGATTGGCCCCGAGAAGCTAGTTTGAATCAGCCAGCTTGTTTAGTGGTCTACATTGGGTCAAAAGAGGGCAGAAAACAGTGTTAGAATGATTCAATCAAAAGTGAGCAAAAATCTGACCTCCAGAGGTCGTCCCTTCGGTCCTTTTGGGACTTTGGCCAGCCGGACCAGCAGGGAAGCACAAGGCACCGCTCTGATGTTGGCGTCGCGAAGACATTTCTCCGTGAATGGGTCCACACCATTGGGCCCTTGGCTGTACACCCTGATCTGATGGCCACCTTCATTTAGTGAAATCTGAAAGTTTAATAATGATGATAATAGATTGCATTTATATAGCGTTCTATCCCATACTAGTATAAGCTCTGAGCACTTTACACCAATCACATGACCATTCACACAAGAAAAAATATTTCACAGAAACAAGAAAAACCAGTTGAACCACATAAAGAACTTTCACAACCATACATTAACTATACAGGAAAGGACAGTTAAAAAAAAAGAAGTTTGAACGATGAACCTTGAGAAACACCATCTCATTCACCTTTGTGAAAGAAATGCACATTGTAATGGAGTACATGTACGTGTAGTTACATTTCAAACCTAGACATACATTTAAAACCTAGAAGCAAAGGTCATCATCATTCAATTATTTCAATATATACATTTCTGAAACATCCTTAATTGCCCTACAGTGCAGCACTCCTTGAATCATGGGCACCTTGTCATGCTCAAGGACATACAACAGAAATCAAAAGTATAAATGCTGTCACTTCTTAAAACATTGCCGAAATACCTCTATCAACAATGTCCGCAAACCTGCAATTACATCGGCCATGTCAAAAAACTTATAACTTAATGTGAGCCTCACAATCATAGTTTAACAGGAAAGTGAAAAAACTGAATATCCTAGTCCTTCTAAATCAAAATCAGTATTTAATATTGACATATATCATGAAGATGAGACCTCATATAATGAAAAAGTTTCACATCCTTCAAATTGTGTATAGTGTTTGCAATATGATGGAAATGACAGTCAAAAAGTCACATTGTATCAAATAAATGAAAGCAAACCACAGAAGATTAATAATTTTGAAGTGGTGTTCTTCCCTTATAAATGCCTCAAGTTCTGTTTACACTATTTTTGGTTCATAGGCCTATGTGAAAATAGAGAAGCTTGTTTTTATTACAATAATGACAGGACACTTTATTTGATAAATTACGTTTTTCACAACTGAGCTCACAGAACTTATGACCCTGTCATCCTAAGGTCACGTTTTTGTAAAGAAAAGTGAAGAACAACAAGCCTAGCAGTTGACAAGGGCCAGCGTCTGCGGTGTGATGGTAATACCCACTGCACACTGGCAATCCAATTTATCTGTTTGAATCGGGGCCAACAAGATTTTCTTTCATGGATGAAGAAAAAGCCTCCATTTTGATACAATATAATGGGCTCCAACTAAATTCGATTGTGAATTTCAAAATCAAATACTTTTGTTTTACAAGGTTGCAGGTCAAATCAGTTGAATTGTGTCAAAATTGTAGCTTTTGTCCATCCATGAAGGAAAAGTTGGCTGGTCGTGACTCAAATTGATGAATCTGATTGGCAGTGTGCACTGAGTACAAAGGTCTTTGTAGTTGCAAACAGAAGACTTGTGTTTGATTCCTGAATGAGGAAGTGCATTTGATCACAAGTACTTAAAAAAAAATTAATCACCTTTCTACCAAGATACTGTATCTTTTTCATCCCAAGCTGTCCATGAAAAGCAAGGTCAAAACATTCCACCCTCTTAAAGGTCTAAACTGTGTTGAAATTGGCATAATACAAATACACAATCCATCAATCTACCTGGAGTCCCGCTTTGTCCACGCTCGGCTGACGATCCGAACCCGTCTCCACAAAAATGTTGAGCAGTGCATACCCAACCACTGTCAGTTGTCGGTAGAAATTGTCAATTGTGTATATCTAGATGAAAAAAAGGAAAGAGAAAAAGCATGAGGTGATGAAGAACTAGTAAGCAAATTCAATACAGCTTTAAATATAAGCAAAACAACAAAGTCTGCATAAAAAACAAGAAACTATTAAACCAGCAGATGAAGTCAAACACATAACAGTAGCCATTCAATTTTTTTTTCCAAATAAAATAAAAAAGAACTACCTTCCATTTCATTTTTATGAGAAGAATGTAGAGTTTAAATTTCTAAAACAAAAGATAAAAATACACAATGCCACTTTTAATTGTTAAAAGATAAGGAGAACACAAAAGTCTTTCCAAATCTCCAAACTTTTACACTACGTTTTAACAAGGAGCAGACATGTGTGGTTACCTTGAAAAGCAATGTAGCAGATGGAGGAAGCTGTGACTCCCTGAACTCAGTTCTGTAGTCATATACTGGGCTGTATATTTCACTGTCAATTTTCACACTAGTTGATATGTCTTTGCCATAAACCTCATACTTGCGATCCAAGATTCGAGCTGCAACCTAAAGGAAAAAAGATGTAAACTCATTTGAAAACACAAAGAGATGAATGAAAACCCCCCCCCAAGAAAAAGGCACGCAAATTTTTGCTTTACCACCCATGCAAGTATAAGAAAAGGACAAGACTGGCTGAATTTGCTGTGTGTAATCTCATTGATCTACATGTTATATGGTCGTTCCACATCTGTCCCCTAAGGATATTCCTTGTTAATTGTTAACATCCTGCTTTAATTTTGGTCTTTTCCTTGTAAGTGATTTCCAAACATATCTGAAAACGAGCAAAAAGCTCCCACCCCTACTCCATGGTGCAAAAGCCTGAATTCTTTTTTCTTTTTCAAAGATTTTTATCATTTTTACAGTTCAATGATGTTCTATTACGAGCAGAACTGTTCTAAGTTATACTATAACTTATACCTTTCAGGCTTTCAGCAGGTAATGAAACAACTGTATAAATTTACAACAGACAAGCTCTCTATAAAAGTAAAAAAAAGAGTTTCAAAAGCAATGGGAAAAGTACTCATCCACAAAAGTGAGAACAAATTATATAGTAGGCCTGTTTTTTAAACTGTGACAGCAAATCATGATTTTTCCCTGCATAATATTATGATGGCCTTGCACAGTCCAGTCACTGTACAGGTTTTAGTTTCAATAAAAATCTTTTGGTGTAAGGAGAAAAATTATGTATCTGTACTGGAATAGAGAATGCAGTTATAAGGTCTGAGACGATCAGAGATAAAAACTTATTTCCAAAATGGAACTCACTCTGGTAAAAGTGACAGAATCTGGGAGAAATCTGCACCCATCAATGTAGATGTCAAAGCCGTCACCTGCATGGAACGGCTCACTTGGAGGGGTTTTTCTTTCAAAGGGAAGCCAGGCATACTGAAATGTACAATGTTTGTTATGAAGAGTAGTGTATGAAATACTATGGGCCATGAAACTTTTGAACATTTCACATACATGCAGTGGCAAAGTGTATATATAATCAAATAATCACTGCTTCCCTTCCTAATTTTGAAACATTGTCGGAGTCAAATTCACTCATAGACGTAAACCTCATAAACTTAATGTAAAAAGACGTTCATACTCACCAATGAACAGTATGCCTAACATTCAGAACTGTTTCATTGCCACAGAAATAGCCTGTTCATCCCTATCGGGCCACTCCATAAGCAGTCGTAAGCTTTAATTAAGTAAGCTTAAAGTGAGGCTGGAAGAGTCTACCAAAAGAGTTGGAGGGAACATGTTGCACAACACTCAAAACTGTTTCATTGCCACATATACCCTGTTCACCCCTTTCGGGCAACAGTTCTAAGAAGTCACAAGCACTGATTATGTCAGTGAACTATTACACTGGTCGAGTCTACCTCACAAATGTGAGGGGAACTAACTCCTAATAATATCTTGACTGCTGTGAGAGCTTGGTTTTTTTCCTCAACTTTTTACCGTCCTATAATCAGATCGTGACCTCAATTATGACACCAGCTCCTGCCCGCGAAAAGTTAGACAAAAACAGCCAAATTTGAAATAAAAAAATAATAATTGTCATGTTCTACCAAAGAGTTAGACTCACGGGTAGATCTATAACATATATATCTAGTACTGACACCTCTGCTTCTTTCCTTTGTGTTTGTGTATTCACATCTAAAGTTAAATGTAATGTTAGTTGGAATAAATATTATTATATTAAATGAGATACTTTCCCGATTATTTTCGTGGTTGAACATGCATACAACATGAATTCGGGACTTGTTTTCATTCACAACTCAGTGTTGCCACCTCGAATAAGATTCTTGTGTGATATCTCCTGGCCCTATCTGGTCCTGTCTCATTTTGATTACCCTGTCAAACAAGTCAGCCTTCGCCCCTGCATACATGTTCTAAGAAATTGAATAGAGTTGAAATTGTCCTAGATGGCCACTCATTGTCAAGGAGAAAAGTGGTTGTCTTAGAAAGGTGGATTTCTTGGACAATGTTATAATACTAGAGAATAAACGCAAGTGGAGAAGTGGGAAAGTGGTTGTTTGTACAGGTGATTGTCTTTGACAACTGACTGTTGGGAAGGTTGGACTATACTATATTGTCTATTCTTTCATCTCATGTAACTAACCCTATCTCAAGTGCTGTATATCACTGATACTTTGACAACTAAAATTTATTTTATTTGTTCTTAATCTATGCCATAACCTTGACTATATCATGAAATCAGGACTTTTTCCATGACCATATACCTCTTTGGCAATGTGTGAAACTGAGAGAAAGCCTTGATCTTTTAATCAGAGTGATACAAAATAAAGAAAAATGATTTGACACGACATTTCCTCTGTGTGGCACCAAACCGATGACTCACCTCTGGTAGAATGTCCTCTCCATCATCTGAGAGGTCACTTGGGGTCAGAGAGCCGGGGCGAGGCTGACCTTGGAAGATGTGAAGTCTCACTGAAGCTTTTCCATACCTGCGCCAATCCCGCTTGTAGTGGAAGTCATTGATAGGTATGTGGTTTGGTTCTGGCACAGGGGGCTGGAAAAGCTTCAGTGAGTGAGTTCCTGTATTTAACTTCATGGTGTTTGTATTGAAGTCCCTCCGTTCACGAGCCGTGAGTTCTGGAAATATAATGTTTGATTTTCTGTGATAGATTTTTGCGCAAAAGAGAAGCTGATCAAAAAAGAAAATTTTTAAAAATCCTTAAGCCTTACTAGGCATGGGCGTTGGTTCCCTTAACCTATCGTAAAAGATGTTCCAAGAAAAAAAATTCTCACCATTATCTGATGTAAGGTGGAAGCAAAAAAGACAAGTTTGATTTCCATGTTGGGAGGTTTCATCAGTCTACTAAGACATTGTATTCCTTCCAGCTTGGGTTGGCCCTGACAAGTAGGGTGAAGCAACTGGTTTTCTAAATGATCCAAATTATGTCAGCGGGATGTGCAAAACATCGACAGATACAAGAAAAATCCTCGCTGCCACTCGCTTCCCATTCTGAATTGTATGTTAGAAGATGTAAGGCTTGCAGCTTCCCAGAGAGTGGGAACAATATGCTTGCCAGAACCTGGATTCTATTTGACCAAAATGCTGCCATAAAGATACACCACATGCTGAAGGGATATTTATTAAGGTAGACTAGAACAAGAAGCCGCCCCTGCAGGTGGGGCCCCATAGTTTTACTATGGGGGAGTAAAGAATACACCTGCCGTGTTACTGCGTGTCGTAAGGGGCGACTAAAGATGCATAGGTCTGGCCACCTGAAAAGTGACAGTTTGCGGAGGGCCAACTCAACTACCCGACCCAGTAAAAAAGGAAAGTTATAGAAACACGAACAAAACATGCCTTATAATTTTTCCATCTTGGGAGACGGAGGAGCTTTCTGCATCAGCAGGAACAATGAAGGACAGCGGACAAAGCCGAAAATGGATGTACAGAAAAGTGGGAAGACGTGGAGTGACATCAAGCGACTAACTCAGGATAGGGAAAGGTGGAGAGTATTTGTTCGTGGCCTATATCCTGACCCAGGGTGAGAAAGGCAATGATGATGATGATAACAAGAAGTGGTAACTACTAGAGGAATTTGAGATTCTTTAAAAAAAAAAAAGATATGCCTCATAACTTTCATTCTTACATTCAAGTCTCCAAGAAAAAGAAGTGAAGGAAATCAGTAATAAAAAAACCCTGTCACAGCCTATAAGAAAAGGGTGAAGGTCAGAGGGTGCCACAAGTAGATCTTGAATTTTTCAACATCCTTCTGTTATTTCTGTGGATCAGTTTAGCTTTTTCCTTGTACTAAATGACCTTTATTGTGCTAAATGCTTCTCTGCAATCAAACTAAATTATTAGACAAAGGGATGATTAAAAGAAACAAATCTCTCTGCCACCCCACTCAACACAAGCACAATAGAAAGCCTTCTTTACTTACTGGAAGACTGTGAGAAGAAACAGGATAATTTTGATAAAAGATAAATAACTAGAATCACCATGCAATGAATCCTTAGTCTCTCTCTCTCTCTTATCTTGTTCAATATTCGAAACTAACTGCATCTGTGGCATAGTGGTTAGGCTCCTTGCTGTTACACAAGAGAAAAAATGTGTTCATGGGCACAACGGGGCGGTTTTTTAAAATCGACTATTGTGATGTCAAAGGACACTTTACAGACTATGTCCATCTGTCTCCTGGGATGTTGCATCCCTCTCAGCCCAAGTTGGCCCAGACAGGTAGGAATAAAACTACCTGCCTTTTAAACGCGTTGATGGGGATGACAGGACATGATCATAAACAACAGGATCAGAGAAATGATGGGAACAACACCTGTCCTCCACTACATCCGAAGGCAAACAATCAGGTAGTTTGGACATCTGACACTATGGCACCTCACCAGCTTGCCAGTAAAGCTTCCTACAGAAAAATATCAGGGTACAAGGCAAGAAGAAGACCAAGAAAGACCTGGACCGAGGGTGTGAAGGATACCCTGAAATCATACAACATTCCACCCACCCAGGCCTTCAGACTTGCAAGAGACAAAAAGCTCTTTCTCCCCTCGCATTAAGTAAAGTAATATGGGGATGTAAAGTCAGATGGTCTCAACAGTCTCATTCATCCCTTGCTCTGTTGTAGCTTACCTCCCTGGGTGGACAGCACAAGAGGAATTGCCGCCCAAGCCACGAGGGATTCCTCGCCGTACTGAGGTCCCACATCCGCGTTTTCGTTCTGAGCATTCAGTTGTTTCCTTAAATAAAAGCGAGCCACAAGGAGCATGTCCCCACTCATTCTGATGTCCTGGAATGAAGCTTCTTGCTGCCCAAACACGTGATAGTTGAACTTGAAATTTGACCTGACCGATGTGGTGCTGCACATCACTGGACTTGTAGCTGACTGTACAACCTGCAGGGGACAAAGACAACACTTTGCTGTTACCACTGTTGTTGTTGTTGTTGTTGTTGTTCAATTATAGTTTATAGTGAGTGGCATGGTAATTTTATTAATATATTTTATACACTTCGACCATACGACTCTCAAAGTAAAACAAAGCCACTCTGTGAACTAACTTGAAAGCAACCAATTTGTATCTAATGTGCACATTTGAATTATGCAGTCGCCAGTCCCATAAAAGTTTAATAAAACTGAAACTAATGGTTGTGACCATCTTTCAATTGGAAGTGTAACACTGACAAAAAGATGAAGACCACACCAAAGATCCCATGATCAATTCTTTAGTATGAGACAGAGGGCACAATATTACTGAGAGACAGAAACCTTTGATTTCAGAAGCAGCAAATGAAGAGGAATAAAAACGTTAAAAATACTTACAGTACCAAAAACAGCAACAGCAATTATAATTGATCTTCCAACGCTTCAAAATGAAACCTAAGTTCAACATTTTTCTGATAATTATTTTGCAATCACTGAGAAGCTCTTTCCAATAGAAAAAAAGACTGAAAAAATTATTGGCTTGGCATGATCTACGAAAACTGACACACTCTCTGACAATAAGGATATGAGTCATCTATGCTCAGGTTCTTGAAGGCACTTCATCTGAGGATAAGTTACTTTTGCACAAAAAACAAACAAACTTTTTTTCCATGTGTTTTTTACAATATGACACATCCTGTACAAGTCCATTACTTACCTTCCCATTAGAATGATAATATGCTGTGAGCCGGACTTTGCCTTCACCAAGCTCGCCGTGCTTGACCCGTTCGACTTGGAAGCCGATAGTCTGGTCCGAAGTCGAATTCGAGATCGGGATCCGGGGAAGACTCGTATTTCTGGTGAAAAAAGACAAGAAAAGCGCCATTATTCTCTTACCATGAAAATATGTTTCGTGTGGCATACAGCAAACAACAAAAAAAGTTTTTTTCTTTGCATATTTTGCCTCTTATGATATCTATACAGTGATTTCCACATAAATATGTGACATCTATACAATGATTTCCACATAAATATGTGACATCTATACAGTGATTTCCACATAAATATGTGACATCTATACAGTGATTTCCACATAAATATGTGACATCTATACAGTGATTTCCACATAACTATGTGATATCTATACAGTGATTTCCACATAAATATGTGATATCTATACAGTGATTTCCACATAAATATGTGATATCTATACAGTGATTTCCACATAAATATGCGATATCTATACAGTGATTTCCACATAAATATGCGATATCTATACAGTGATTTCCACATAAATATGCAATATTTATACAGTGATTTCCACATAAATATGCGGTCACTGGGAGACAGAAAAAGCAGGTCATTAGGTAGATGTCAAGCCAGCTCCTTCCCGCTAGCTTCCTTTCTTTTAATTGTTGATGAAATGAAGACCCAAAGGCAATACTGATGTCGAGGGAAGATAAATGTGTTTGCTTTAAAAAAAAAACCAACAATAATAATTATGGGTGTGTGTGTCTGAGTGGTCTGTTTTGTCTTGGGTGCAAGTGAGAGCTAGAGCCTTCAGGAAACATTTTTGTGAAGCAGCATTGTCATTATGATGACAGCATTATTGAAACTATGAAAGAAACAGTCGTAAGGGAAAAGGTGACTGTAAATGGGCCAGCTTTAATCAGACAATTGGATGTTATTAACCACGTTAGAAAAACAAGTCACTGTACAAGTTGAAACCATCAAGTGACTGATCTACTTAACAGAGCTCCCATGTGTGCTTAAGAAAATGTTGTGTGCTTAAGAAAATGTTCTGTGTAAGTGTGCATGCAATGTGTAGATTTTACCATCTTCTAGTCCACACCAACCCCTCTCCCTTCACTCCTAACCACATAAAGTATGATAAAGCTGCTTAGAAAACTTTACATGTAATGCTCTCAGCTTAAACAGGGTTCTTGGGCGGATTTCTATTTCAAGAGGCGCTCTTAGGCATGCAAATTATTGACAAAACAATTCTACTGCATGGTAAAAGCGGGTTCTATGGCAGATCAGATTCTTAAGCAGAGAGTTCTTAGGTGGAGACCACTGTGCATGTAAGACATGTGAGGAAGAGAAATGTCTTGAAGTAAATGTCCCAGTTCAACAAAAAACATAAATTGCAATGAGTCTATTGACGTTAATTTTGGAAGCTTTAAGGTACAGACGCTGATTTTGGAAGCTTTAAGTTGCAGGCCTGGTCAGTAAAAGTTAGCAGCTAAAAGACCTGAAACAAACTTTGCCACAACTAATTTGACAAAATACTGCCTACATGCAACGACATTTCTTTGCAAAGTTAAATCTTTTCAGTAGCTTTTAAAATCTTTGCAAAGCTTCTGTTAATCTAACAATGTAATAGCGTATTTGGGGGAAAAGAAATCCTTACGATAGAACAGTGTGCATACATTTGGGGGAAGAGGGAATCCTTACAATAGAAAAGGGTACATGCATGTGGGGGCAAAATAAATCCTTTCCTTAAAATGACGTTTGTCAGGTAAAAATCCTTTTAATATACTAGGCCTACTGTATAAGGGGAACATTTTAAAGAAATCATTATCGTAGAAAAACGAACAGGAGATGTAAAAGTCTTTTAAGAGCATCTAATACGACTGAAAAGCATGAAGTAGAAGGATATAGGACAGATATATCTGGGAAATGGAGTCTTCTTCTCTTTCTATGACACACCAAGTGGCTGAAGTGACAAGATCTCCAAAATAACTTTTAACCAACCCAGTATCACAACAGACAGCCAAGAACATCATCAAATGCAACACCAGGGAACAGTGGCTGAATGGATGGGCAATGGGCAAAACTGGAAGAACTGTATTTGCACACATGACAGCTCCCAACTCTAAAGATGCAATAAATTCCCTGAGTAGAAGAGAACAAGTCACGATATTTCGCCTGCGAACACAACACATACCACTAAATTCCTACCTTAATAGGATCCGCAAGGATACCCCACCCGACTGCCCGTTGTGCGACTGCCAGGATTAAACAGTACCACACCACCTCTTTAACTGCCCAGCACTTTGTGACCTGCGTAGCACCTACCTACCTGCCTCCCCAGACATTGGAAATACTCTATACAGCGACAAAGCACAGCTGATTAAAACCTGTAAATTCTTTGCCATATCAACAGACTGAAGGGCTAGAACCCAAACGGCCGCTGGATCGGAAAATTATTGTAAAGTACAGCACTTTTAACACAAATGTTTCATATAAGTGCTGGAGAATTGTTACCGGAGAGTAACATACAAAGAAAATAAGGAGGAAAGATAAGGACATTAGATGTCTGATAGGAAAGAAGTAGCAAACCATACCAGAGCATCTGCCAACCACCCACAAAAATAACTGTTCTCGCAGATGATGGCAAGAGCTATAAACAAACTCCAAACTCCAATAGAATTAAAATCATGATTGAATTCAAACATGGCTCATCCATCCTATCCAGTGTGTTACAAAATGAGTTACCAGGTTGACTTTTTGAATATGAAAACACAGGAATTATATTGATACTGGGGTAATAAAAGTTAGACTAAATAAGGGAGACAAAATAATGGAATACTGCCTGCAAAATCAATATAATAGTGCAGTGATAATAATGATAATAAATGTGAAAAATTATAGAAAACGAAAACAGGTAGAGCTGCAAAAACAGTAACAACTTCAAAACTGAGTAGAAGGCAGAGATGTTTTGCCTGTGATGGTCACGGGAACCGTCAAAATCAGCATCAGAGACAACACAAGAGTAAGAACAAATAAGTTCAACCAACGGTACCGTCTGACCACTTCTGTCTAAATTAACAAACAAAGAAACCATGTTTTTGTTGAAATGTCAGACGAAACAGAAATTACAACTACTTTAGTATAATGACTATAATGCTTGTGCTAACAAGCAATGACCAAAAAAAAAAAATGACCACAAACTTTTTAAAAACATGTCCAAAAGAGAAAATGAAGACCACAAAATCTTAAGATACAAACCTGCTATGGAAATAAAGTGTACATGCAGAGTTTATAAGATCAAGCAGATATGAAGCTGCAAGCAGAAATGAAACATTTGACAAAGTAACTATTTAGCACAGATTACACCATCGCAGTCTCAAGAAAAATGAGCAACTGCAAGTATTTTTCACTCAACCCATAAAGCATGATCAAACTGAGTTACCCATTCTCCTTGAGCAAGCGACAATATGAAGCACTGGCGCTACGACATTTGATATCTGGGGTAATTTGTTTCACAGTGGCCTACTTTTTCTCACATGCATTACGGCACTGATACTTTGATGTGGATATACTGAATGTCACATGATTCATTACAGCACTGCTACTTTGATGTGGATATACTGAATGTTACATGATTCATTACGGCACTGCTACTTTGATGTGGATGTACTGAATGTTACATGATTCATTACGGCACTGCTACTTTGATGTGGATATACTGAATGTTACATCATTCATTACGGCACTGATACTTTGATGTGGATATACTGAATGTTACATGATTCTTCCCATCATACCTTGGCTTGGGAGTAAAATATTCCGTAGGAGACTCAGGGGGAGTTTCAGTGGGAGGGGGAGGGATTGGTGATTGAACAGCTACTTGAGTAAGGACTACAGCACCCTGCAAAGAGACAAGGAGGTATCAGAATTATTCTTTTCTTTTCCCCTGCACAACGATTCTGTGACCATTACAGTGTCTCTAGTGCAGTAAAACACCTACAATACCATTCTATACAATGGTTTGGACTTTCAGACTTCTCAAAAGCTTTAGGAAGACTGAATTGCTGTGAAAGTATTTAAAGCATAGAGAGATTCCTCCCTTTCGTTCACCTCCCTTCCAACTTCCCACCAATAAATGAAGTAAGTTATTCTGTATTAACTTTACAACTTGAATCTGAAAATGTTCTATAACCCCGTAGTTTCTAACATGAGATAATGAAAACGCTAGCAATGACTATGCTGCAAAAAATGTGAGTCAAAAAAAGAAGAAAAAATTAGAGAACAATGAAAAGACTGTTAAAAAGACATGTAAATATAAGATGGATTACTCAGGCTGTTTTCAACTGTCTACAAGTGATTCCACAGGTCTATATTTGGCAATAGAGGGATGTAAGCTAGTTAAGTTATGAACTCATGCTTTTCAGTGAAAGGGAAAGTGAGTAGAAGAATTCCTTTTGTAGACAAGAGTTGGCCTACTTCATTCATTCCGACTTGCAAAGTAAAACCAAGCCATGCTATGAACTAATGAGAAAACAACTAACTTGAGTCCAGCACGTTCATATGACATAAAATTGCAAGCATCGTAAAACTTTGACCAAACTAACTGGACTACTTTACTGTTTTAAAAAAGATGAGTAATCCGTCTTAAGTTTCTCCGTCTTTGCTATGGTGACAGCTACTGAAAGTGAAAGTGACACATTCACTCACCACTGGGGCCACTTGGTACGTCTCTTGGTTAGTCGCTGCAATCATGGCCATCGACTGGTTTGGAGCATCTCTCATGTTGACGATCCTGTAGTAGAGCTCCGCTTCTCCGTACTGGGTATATCAAATGTATGTTATGTGTTAACCAACTTCACAGTTTACATAAGTCTTTTGACATCTTTATAATTTCCTCGTTTATTATCCCAGTTCACTGAATAAATATCAAATCAATTACTGTTATTTCTTTGTTTCCTTTATCTTATATAAATCCTTGATGATAATAATTGCATTTATTGATGAGACATCTTCTCCTCCCAAGACCTACCACGGCACAATGGGAAGCCAGAGAAAGATTAAGTTGTCAATGTTCTAATGTAAGGGTGTATTCAATTAGGAATGTGTTGCTCATGGGCTGTATAAATCAACATTCCTTATTGATACTCGTCTTTCTCTTTTTATATTCCTTCCTTTGCTAATTACAGTCCTTTAAATCTGTCAATTTAAAATGTAGGCATGTACACCTACTCTGACAATGCATGTACACCTACTCTGACAATATATCTTTCTCGTTCGTTTTATTCTCACAATGTTCAGACAGGGTAACAACACAGTACCAGGACTTCCAGGACTCAAATCGCTTAGGGCTGTGCTTATTTGACTTCATTTGATTGTACATGGTTATATTAATGTCAAATGCCTGCATCAATACAATAACAATGACTATCAGGGTCACCCTGGCTCAGTGGAATACAACATTCAAGTGGTTACTTGGTAACATAACTTCCCCAAGTAGGAACTGAACTCATGTCTTCTGCGCACAGCGGCAAACTGCCTAACCAGAACACTACAGAAGCCAGTCACATGTTTTTCCTTTGTCAGGCTAGTCATGTCTAACTTACCTGTGGGATGGCGTTGAGGTCACCAATGGTAATGTATGGTTTGATGGGTACGGCCCTCAGAGGGAGTCGGTGACGGCCAACCAGAAGCCTCTCCTGACTGTCAAACAGCGGGATCTTTGTCCACGCCCGTGTGATGAGTCGCGAATGGTCATGCTCTGCACCAGGAGCACTTCCTGCTGCCTGAAGCTCAAACACAATGCCCAGGTCTGGCGCGGGTGGACATCTGCAATGGTAAGTCAAATAGATACATTCCTAGGAGAGCTGGACGTAGTACTGTTTGGTGTTTTATGCAATGTGTCTAACTTTAAGAATAGTTACAGTGTTGGGGCACAGATCAAATTTGAAATACTAGATATCTAACTGTATTACATGGAAACACATTGAGGCCAAGCTACGTTCTGGATAGATTTTAAAAAATTCACGAAGGCTGAAATTTTTACTTTGATATCCAGGAAACTTTCCTTCATAGCCATTTTTCTTCAAACGGTTATTTACATAAATTCAGCCCAGAAATATCAGTGTTAAACATTTTGTGTATCTCTCCCAAAATATTAGAATTATTAAAACTGATGATATCTACTTGCATGCCACCATAATTTTTCAATATTTGTAAGGCTGTTTCTCTAATTTTTCTCTTTATTTCAAAGAAACCAAAGGAAGCTTGTGAAACATAACCAAAAAAAAAGCTATATAATCTGGGTGCATGACTCTGACAACCATCAAATTGAATAACGGCCTTTGTAAGAGTCTTGCATCCAGTCATCGAATTGTGGCTCGACATTTTCAATTTTTGCCAGAAAATTTTAGAGTCGTGAGCTTCTTTTCAACTGCTCGCAGGATCAATGTTTGTACTCGGTACCTTGGCACCGGCTGCCTGGCTCCAATGACTGCATTGACCACCTGACCGCCTTGGGCGCTGACTTGGTTGCCTGGCTCTGTGTACACCAGAGGGAGAATGGTTGGCTCTCCCAGCTTGGCCTGGCTGTTGTGAAGGCCGACGATATATCTGGTCGCTATGATGCGGGGGTCCAGGTTGAGCACAAAGTCGTAGAAGATGGTGAAACCAGCGCTAGAGGAGAAGAAAGACATGAAAGATATTTTCCAGCATGAGAATTTTAAACTGAGAAATTATTTTGTCCATGTCCTCTGAAGATCGTTTGTCTTTGTCGGAGTTCAAGGCTTAATAAAACACAGTAATGGGCTGTGTTAAGCTTAGGAACTTGGCCACCCTACAGATGCCAGGCTGAGAGGTAAAGTTCTAGGAAAGATGAGAAAAAGTTATATTCAGATAGGATTCAAGCCTCAAAATTCAATGCATCAGCTGAATTAGCAAAAGGCTTTGTCACTGCAACTGGTATAGGACCCCCCCACCCCCCAAAAAACTAAACAAACAACAACACAAAACAAAACAAAATAAAAAAAACAACAAAAAACAAAAACCCCCCCCCCCCCCCCCCCCCCCCCCACACACACACACACAGGCAAATTCATCACTACTGCAACAAATAAAAAAAAAGGTTCTTCTCGTATGACTGCTTGATCAGCAAAAAAAGAAGTTGTAGAATAGCGTGACAAATTCATTCAGAGTAGTTTTAAAAAAATCTGTAGTCATAACATCATAACACGGTCACCATGAAAAAAGACGCAATGAAACTCGTATAACCAGAACAGGCTGGATATCTTTATGCTTCCCATAACTCAATAAATAATGCAATGAAAATAGGCTGACTATTTCCGATCTATGCTCTGCCATGTATTTACTTGTAGCCATGTTTGTTCACTGCTCACCGTCTCCAACATACAGGGATGCTGTGCAGACAGCCTGGCTGTCAAATCTTCAAGATGCTCAGATATTCAAATTTCTCTTTAAAAAATGTAGGAGTTTCTACTCCCCCATTGACACAAGTTAGATCCTTCAGGAGGTGGACTTCAACCCTGCCTGTCGGTGTTAATGCGGGCTGAGAGGGATGCAGCATCTTAACAGTATGAGGTAAAAATATTATTCACATGAAAGTTGAACTCAAGTCTTCTGCATAACATGACAAAGTGCCTAACTGTTACACCACATGTGTTGGTCCCAAATTTCTTTCAAGAAACAACGCTGGCTACATGAGGCTGGTGTACATGGAACTGTCATGGTAAAAACTCATCACAAAATACATATGTGAGGCAGCGTGGTGAAATCAGACGCTCGTCAAAATAGGCAAAGTGAAGAAACTAGCTTTTTTCCGCAGGTTTGGGGATTTTTATAGAATTTTTGTTTTTTGGCTCAACACCTTTCATGCCCTTTAAAGAACACATTTCTGTGTGGATTGTCCTGAAAACAGTTGATTTAAGGCATAAAAGATGTCTGGATCGATAACAACAACAAGGCATAAAAGATGTAGATTTTCAGTTTCCATGGGCTCTCAAGCTTAGGAAATGACTCAGCTTTGGCGGCCATTTTCTCGCTAATTTTACCTCTGAAACAAGCCCACCCCTCCTCCTTACATCCGAGATAAATAGATATTGTTTTCGTCCTAAGCAAGGCAAATGGACAAGCTTTAAGATGATACAAGTAACTCCATATGCCCCAAAATTGACGAGAGCCTGATTTCACCACGCTGCCTCACATATTACATTTTTAGTTTATGTAAAGATAAGCCCATCTGCGCTAGATCAATAATTCAGAGCAGGAGAAAAAGCAAAACAGACAAGAAGAAACGATGGATGGAAAGGAAAAAATGAAAACTATAGTGGTGCTGTCTAAAACCTTGCTAGACATATTTAATGGTCACATTAGTGGACTCTGTAACAGAACTCAGCGAATCAAATAACACTCTCAGAGACAGTTTCAAGAATACCGTCCAGTCACATGACGACTTGGTTTGTTTTTTTGGCTCTTTTCGTAAATTCCGCGAGGTAACTTCGATTGTTGATTTTTGGAAACCTTGGGGTAAAAAACCAATGTGTGAACATACAGAAAACAACAAAACAATATGTAAGGAACACAGGGAACGACATATTAACTTTGGAGTGGTTTATTTGTAAACTGTAAATTGTGTACAGAAATAAAAACTATATAATAAAAAAAGGTGTAGTCTAGCACAAACAATTTTTTCTTCTTAATAAATCACAGAATTGAAGCACCTACATAGTAAAATAGTGGTAGATTGGGTAGTAGGATCAGTTACAAGATAAAATAGACACTTGAAGGACGTGAACAAAATGCAATTTTATCACGGTTGAAAGATTTCACAAGTGGACCTTGACCTGATTCCAAGAAATCACATTTTGAAGAATTACAGCAGATGGGAATTTTAACAAATAAAAATTTAATATTTCGACAATTTTAGTAATAAAAAAAAGTATAAACCAGAGCAATAAATAATTTAAAAACAACAACAACAATAAATCAACAGTTCAGGAGAATAGGAGTCTCATGGTAAAAAAATTGGGACAGAGACTTTACAGATTTTGGAATGTGGCCTCATCTGAACATTTGACATTTTGCAACCATCTCACCGCAGAGGTCTCTTATTTCTAGGTATTCTGCACATTGGATGTCAAAGAAATCCATTCTAGAACCAAAGTTATGGTGAAAAGAAGTCCAAAATTTGAAAATAAGTATGAACGGAGAAAAGTGGGTTCAAATTTTTAGCAGGCATTCATTTATAAAATTGTTTCCATAGAAACAGACACCCTTGACAAGTACTTCAACCTCTAGTTTGCCGAGTTCTAGAGTTGTTTACAAATCAGCACTAAAATATGGACAAAAAGGATAAATAATCACTCTTTAAAAAAAAAAATAGTAGAGGGTTTTACGGCGCTCGCAACTGCATAAGGCGCTCGCAACTGCATAAGGTCATATGAGCGCCAAGGGGTGGGTGTCAACAGAGAAGTCTTTACAGGGAATCAGACTTACTCTGCTCACCTCTCTAGCTTCAACAGCACAAGGTCTGCTTCAACTATCAAGGCACCCCGGAAATAGTAGGTCACAAGAGTGTGACAAACATACAAAAGAAGTAGAGGAAAATGACAATAGTGAGGATTAGGAAAGAAAAAGCAGGAGTTCCCTGTTGTAGATCAGGTACAGTTGTGGGCGTGACATTGGTGAATCAGTCCATTTACAATTCTATTGTGCTTGAACGAGAAATGTCCCCCCTTTGGGAATGGCCTAAAGACACTTCAGTCAGTGGCACTGCCCCGGAGGGCAAATAATCACTCTATAAAATTCAAATATAGAAAAAACTTAAAAAATTAAGAGTAAAAACCACGGAATGTCAAAACTTGCTATTGTGAGTCTGTAAACACAGAAGTAAAAGCGGGAATCCTGTGTGCAGTGAAAATAGTTTGCTTGTGTTTTTCTGAAATGTTCACTGAGATCCAATAAAAAGGTGAATAAAAATGCTAAAGAGTGTGAAAGTTTATTTCTAGTCTCGGTGACCAAAATGTAAAACTGTACAAAAAGTACCAACTGTGTCTGATTAAAGACGAAAATACACATTTTGCTTGAAAAAAAAAAAGGGGCTCGTCAGAAATAAATAAAAAAGAAATATACATAGACCTTATTTCATTAAGTGACTTACGGAAAATAGACATCAGAAGTTGGGGAACCCCCTGATATAAATAACTCAAACTCAACCTGGGATTAACCAACCTCATATTTTGGCCTCTATCTTGAAACAAAATTATTTTCTAACACATTCTAAATTCTCACAGAGAGCATCACATGCATAAATAGTAAAATAGTAAATGATATGATTAGACAGGAAAAAGGTTATGGGTTTATCCTACTAGTGACCTCCCCCAGCTCATTTTATGGGGAACACCAACATTCTAACAAGATGGGACTCGCAGTCTGCTTTAATAAATAGCATTTGTATAGCACATATTCCCGCTCAACAGCAGGCTCTATGCGCTTTACACTATACTAATTGTAAATGTTCTACATCCCCATTGACACAATTAACAATTATATTATTTTGGCCGCAAATGGCTTCAGTCCGGGACAAGTTGAATACAGCATCCCATTTGAAGAATAAAAATACTCAATAAAATAGACTTCCTCCCTCAAGAAATTAACTCGAATTTACATGGAATGAAGAAGAGCTTAACCATTTCCTGACAAACGTCGGTGTGCAGCAAGAATATACTGTCATCACTCAGGCAAAGCCAGGTAGATGTAATTCCGGAAGACGAGATAAGAGCACAGAAATACAACAGTTTCCATTAACATCTACTCATATTAGTAGTAGTAGTATAGGGTTTTACGGCGCTCGCAACTGCGTAAGGTCATATGAGCGCGCTACTACTCATACTATGTGCACCACTCTTTCTACTAACACACAACAACAACAATGAAAAAAAACAACTATGCTTTCAGCTTAACCTAACAGAAACACACATATCTAATTTCTTAAAAAAAAAAAAAAGCAACAATACCCAAAAAAATAACAATAAGGAGGTACAGTTGCTTCTCCCTGTTTCACTTTTAACATTCACCTGTGTTTTGTTTTTTCATCCCATTGTACTTTTGTGTGTGTAAACGCATTTCAAAAAATTTCCATAATTTATTTTTAAGGTAGCTAAACAGATAAGCATACATTTTAAAAACTCTTTCAAGTCGTCTTTGCATATGTATGGGATGTAATTGTATTCTATGTGATCTGGTGAAAATTTTTTTTTTTTTTTAAATTGTATCTGATCTATAGTCTATCTTTAATTTCATGTTTTAACATAAAAATAGAGTTTGACAAAAGAGTGTTCTTTCCTGGAATAATGTTTACTTTGATGATAAGGAGGATGAAAAAAGAACCTCTTCATTTGCTTATCACTTTTTTGAGGGTTTCAGCACAATATTTCTTGAACACCTAAAAAATGCTGCACCCCCCTAAGCAAATCTGCAATTGGAGCATGTGGTCCCAACGACAGAAAGCTTTAAACTTTTTCCAAATTTTCAGATCTTAAGCTCAACTCCGGAAGTGAAAAGTTTAAAAATACAGTACAGCAGTCTCTGCCTAGAGCCCATCGTTTATGATCCCAGTTCACTCTGGATCTCGCTATTTAAAGAAAACAGAACATTTTTACTCTACAAAAGGCCCTAAGATCCCGCTCTGAAGGTCTACCTTTGGCTAAAATCCTGCGTTTCAGTTCAAAATTTACAGAACGAAAATCGCGGGCGAGCACAGCCGATCAACCAAGAGTGAAAATTTGCAACCATTGAACTACCCGTTGCATCACAGATCAACCACTCACGTGAATACGATCACATGTGTATTGCAAATCTGCATGAAACGGTACACTGTTTGCTTCAGACAGGATCACACCAAGGAGTGAACTCGTGGACATGATTTTTTTTCTTTAAACATTGCACTCGCACCAGAGTTCTTCACCTTAATTTACATGAGTACCATAGGGCCTACAAGTTTGCTCCAAGTTGGGTCACGTTGAACAATGAACTCTTCCCTGACCATTGCAGCAGCTGTCTCTACTCTCGAATTGGTGAGACAGACTAAATTTTAATAGGGGTGATCACTACATAATGGTGCGTAATGATAAAGGCGGGGGAACTCTGTCAGAGATGGAGAGCTATAAATTTTGGACAGGTAAAGGGGAGGGGAAACTGGATAAGCGTAAATCTTGAGACTCACGACAGGATAATAAGTGAGAATGGCATGCCTCAAGCCACTGTGATTGGTCATCAAGGCTGACCACTCTTTGTTCACCATATGTAATAAACTCACCCGCGGGAACCGTTCATTATAGAGTGAAGGGAGTCCGTTTTACCGGTTGTGGACTTGGACATGGGTCATCATAGATTCTTCCCTTGTTGCGTGGGCTAAGATCCTGCATTTTCCTTGTTTCTGAGCACCGTGATCTTAGGCAGAGACTACTACATTACTAAAAGTTAATAAAACTCACGAATGATCTAGACCTAGATCTAGCTGGATTTATGAATAATGCTAGATTCAAATGGTGTTTCCAACTTTTTAATAAGGGAGACATATCTTGTCAATGGTAAGTCATATGTGGCATAAATGTTGTTTTCATCCCTTTAAAAAGCAGATGAGAAGACCGATAAATCAGTAATCAAAACAAGAACGGAAAGCACTTGCACAGATATATAGTTATATAAATATATATGTTGAAAAATATACATATTAAATATATATATTTCAGATTCTCCATTATCACAGTCAAAAGATTTTAACCCATCAACAAAGAGAAGGTGAGCTGCTTCAACCCCGCCTGTCAGGACCACCTTGGGCTGAGAGTGATACAAAGTCCAAACAGACGGATGGAAAGGCTCAATATAAAAATTCTCCCCCAATATGAATCGAAATGGTGTCTTGTATATGCCATGGACAAGAGACAAACCCCTACATCGCAGATATCATACAATCTCATCATGTCAAAAGACAAAACAAAAAATTCCCATTGAAATTGAAACAAGGAGACAAATCCGAGTTCCAAATGAAGTATCAAGTGTGTTGTCTTTTCAGTTGATTCTTCTGTCATAAGCAAACAGTAAAAGTCAGCATGACGTAAGAAGTTCAAATAAGTTAGATTTAGGTAGGGTAACAGCATGGTCTTGCAGCCTGGAGAATACTCCAAGGACGGAAAGCTGTTCCCAACGAGAGCGCAATGTAGTGACAAATCTCTGAATCATAGCACTATAAAGCTCTCAGCCCTTCTGCGTCCTCCTCAGCATCCCTGGTAATTTTACTTCAACCAGACATGGCAAAAGAGCCTTATTGAACAAAGTTGTAATGCCATAGAAATTACTTGAAGTGCATTATTTTCCCTGAACTTATTCTGTGTTGTACACTGTTATAGAAGGTGACTTCAGACATCACCTGGCCAAAGGGTAAAGCCCTGCGGCATGGGTCTAGATAGGTAGGAAAGAATTAAACAGCTGGATCACAAAATCTCAAGCAGTGTATACAAACAAGGTGCATTGGTACTATACCCAGAGACAAAACAACACGTATATATATCGTTACTAGGTGCAGCTAATAATCTCCTTGAAAAATACAAAAAGGTCTGGTATAAAGTAAAACAAAAATTACACATGGCATCTTTAAAATGAACATTGCAAGCATCATAGTTAGAAGGATACCTAACAAGCATATCATAATATATTCTTCAATAAACACTTTTTTCATTCTGCAGTCCTACGAGTAGAACGCAATTGACAGACAAAGGCTTTGATTCAGTCAAAAAGCAAGGTATCAGAGTTACTTTAAGTGAAAAAATCTCAAATTGGACAGCTGCTTATAATTAAACCAAATTTTCTAAAATACTGGAGATATCATTTTCACATAAACATGTGTATGGACAATATATTGGAATTCATTTGGAAAAGGTTTTACAAAATTATAAACCTTTTTGCTAAAAAATTCAAGTATTTCCCTAAAAAGCAGTTTTCACAACATTCTTCTTTGTGATCACACACAGAGAGTAATATTTCAAAGATATTGTGTTGTTTTTTAACCATGTCACTTGAGAACTACAAAATAAGAGACACTCTCATGCCTACATGATATACTACGCTTGCAAAGACAAAAGTAATAATCATTGTAATGCATGCTCTCACACATTTATGTCGCGGAAAAAAAAGACTAAAACCATGAAATTCCATTCAACTTATATTCCTTCACAACAAAGACATGTTTCCTGTCTCCGGCATTTCATCCTTCTCTCCTTGAGGTGACGGTAGACGGCGTCTCTTATTGTTCTAAACCTGAAAGGAAATATCAACACGTGTCCTGCAACATTCATTGGATGTTTATTTACATAATACATTACTGATGCAGCATTGCTATTACGTTTTTCTTGTTTTTAAAACTACTGCAGTAAACAAAGGATTTAAAACTATGCTAGAGTCTACATGTTGTAGGTGCAAAAATAAAAAAAAAGAATTGGAGGTGCATTTTTTGTCCCTTTCAACTTTAGGTGAAGATTACGAAATAATCCATAAAAGCTAAAATAAGAAATGAAGCAATTTATGAAAAATGTAACTCCAATAGTCCAATAAGCAAGCTTTAATGAGTTAAGGTATCGATAATTAAAAGATGGAAAGTGATAATCTTAAAGAAATGCAAAAATAACAATAAGTTATGATGCTATGAAGCGCCTTTTTTTCCACTTAATCGAGGTGTTATCTTCTGCAAAGGAAAATCATGGGTTTTTTTTTTCCTTAACCAAAAAATGTAAACAGATCTTTAAGTATTATTAATATACAGTGGACTTACCTCATTTCCTCAACATCAAAGTTGCAGCTCATAATATGGATCCATGTGGGTGTCTTGGCGGTATTGCGTTTTCGCCCATGTGTGTGCATACGGCTGACGGGGGCTGAAACGGCAACACGCGGAACTTGCCAGATTTCGCATTAGTCCAGAACAAAATTCTAAAGTTTTCATTCTTCCCCTTAGAGTTTACACTGTTTTCTTCCCCTTAGAGTTTACACTGTTTTCTTCCCCTTAGAGTTTACACTGTTTTCTTCCCCTTAGAGTTTACACTGTTTTCTTCCCCTTACAGTTTACACTGTTTTCTTCCCCTTAAGGTTTACACTGTTTTCTTCCCCTTACAGTTTACACTGTTTTCTTCCCCTTAGAGTTTACACTGTTTTCTTCCCCTTAGAGTTTACACTGTTTTCTTCCCCTTACAGTTTACACTGTTTTCTTCCCCTTAAGGTTTACACTGTTTTCTTCCCCTTAGAGTTTACACTGTTTTCTTCCCCTTATAGTTTACACTGTTTTCTTCCCCTTAGAGTTTACACTGTTTTCTTCCCCTTAGAGTTTACACTGTTTTCTTCCCCTTATAGTTTACACTGTTTTCTTCCCCTTAGAGTTTACACTGTTTTCTTCCCCTTAAGGTTTACACTGTTTTCTTCCCCTTACAGTTTACACTGTTTTCTTCCCCTTAGAGTTTACACTGTTTTCTTCCCCTTACAGTTTACACTGTTTTCTTCCCCTTAGAGTTTACACTGTTTTCTTCCCCTTATAGTTTACACTGTTTTCTTCCCCTTAAGGTTTACACTGTTTTCTTCCCCTTAAGGTTTACACTGTTTTCTTCCCCTTAAGGTTTACACTGTTTTCTTCCCCTTAAGGTTTACACTGTTTTCTTCCCCTTAGAGTTTACACTGTTTTCTTCCCCTTAAGGTTTACACTGTTTTCTTCCCCTTAGAGTTTACACTGTTTTCTTCCCCTTACAGTTTACACTGTTTTCTTCCCCTTAGAGTTTACACTGTTTTCTTCCCCTTAGAGTTTACACTGTTTTCTTCCCCTTAGAGTTTACACTGTTTTCTTCCCCTTCTAGTTTACACTGTTTTCTTCCCCTTCTAGTTTACACTGTTTTCTTCCCCTTCTAGTTTACACTGTTTTCTTCCCCTAAAGGTTTACACTGTTTTCTTCCCCTTAAGGTTTACACTGTTCAAGTTCGTTTTTTTCACACACTGCTGTCCCTTTTGACAGGGACATAATGTTATTCTCTCTGTCTTAAAACATTATTCCCTTCGAAATTGTTTCACTTTTCAATGGTGATAAAAATAGTAGCCATTAAGACACAAAATTACTGGAGCTATTCAATACAACAACAAAAACAAATGAATACATATTTTTCTACATATGTGAAAGAAAAAAAATTATTACAATTTATACATAATTTTGCTTTGGGCAACACATTAACGTATGTTAAAGAAAAATTACAAATAACATATATTCTTGCTTTGTGCAACTCATAAAAGATTTGCACTCTACAAAATAGTCAAAAATTGAAAACTAAAATCTAAGTCCTGAACTCATTCTAGCTACCTTAATTCAGGTCAAGACAATGGATGAACTTTAAGAAGTGAAAATCTTACCTGTAGTCATACGGTGCCAGTCTGTCCACTTCAATAAATTGAGTCTGAAATGTCAAATATAAAAGCCATTTGAAAGCTGTGGGAAAATTACAGTAGCAAAAAAACAAAAAAAACCTTAAAAAAACATCTTTAAAACCCCCCCCCAAAACCCCAACTAAAACTAACAAAAAAGCCACACATTGAAACTAGGACGTCAAAATGAGAAATAATTTAACAACTTATTTCATAGTGAGAGAGAAAGAAATGTACTCCTTCCATTTAATGGTGAAAACAAAATCTTAAATGTGATATTCTCAAAGTTCCAACAACAACAATAACCAAAAGCATCAACAAAAATCATATGACTTTTAGATGCTACACATGAGCAAATCTAAACCCCCCCCCCCCCCAATCTCACAAATCAATTCAGATAACAGATAAAAAAACGATCAATCTTTACAAAGAATATTAGAATTCACTATTGACTTGTGGTCTCAGTGATGTCAAGACCCCACCCCCCAATACCCTTCATCCCTTGACAACAGCAATGACTGTATCTTTTTAAGACCTAGTCAGTTCATGAAACTGACATTTGCCTACATAATGACTCCTCATCTATCACGCTTAGACAGATTCTATTTAATTTTGTTATTCTTTCTTTTTGTACCCTTGCTAGAGCTCAGGGAGTATCTGACTGTGAGATCAGCTGACAGTGCAGCTGAATTTACGTACATGGCCATTTTATCTGTGTAGATCATACATTCATTCCTCTTTTGTCCTGATCTGAGAAGACTACAAGCTTGATCCTACCATTCCAAAGACCAGAGGGTGTAAAAAACATGAGAAAAAAAAACAAAACCCTTCAGGGACAAAGACTCTGAGGAATCAAATGGACAGACAGGATCACCAACGAGGAAGTATTAAGAAGACCCAGACAGAGCCCGGTCAGAGATGAGGTGGGAAGAAGACGTTGGCAATGGATTGGACACACTCTCAGGAAGTCAAGCAGCTGCATAACAAGAAAAGTGTTAGATTAGAACCCACAGGGTAAAAGATCAAGGGGAAGACCTCGTCG